CTCATGCCGCCTGCGTTGGATGTCCTTTACTTCGCACGCGTGTACTAGGTGGCCGACATCTTTCTGCATCACCAAAATAGTGAAAACCTTTTGAAGGATCGCAGGATCCTGAGAAAGTCGGAGGCACCCTGAGGTGCCTCGCGGCAGCCTTTCGGGTGGATTGCGAGCCCTTGCGAGGCCTCCCATCGACGCAAGAGGCACCTAGCAGTGCACCCAGAATCTTAGCGAGTTATTAGGAGGTCCGCAGAAGGCATCGTTGGGTGTTCGCACAAATGCGCGAGGACCTCGCCCATGTCGCCGGGGGGAACTCGCAAGGCCTCTGAGTCTCCTAGTTTCCTGTGGCCTTTTTACGTCCCTAAGCCCGCACAAGCTAGCAGAAAGAGTAGAAAGTATCTCAGATAGTGTCGCACGCAGACGGATGACTTCTGGGCCGACGCGACCGATGCGAAATGTGCTCAGCGCTGTATGAGGGTATGCCGCCGTATTGTCCTTGACCCTGATTCTGAATCGAGACTTGAGTGTACCTGGGTAGCTTCTAACACTTCGACGCTATCGTTGAATGGCAGATCGAAGCAAGCAAGGGCGAGACTAAGCCGGTCCAAGCACGGCAACGACGCGTGATTTTTCTCGACGCGGCGGACGCGGCACTCAACATCGACATCGACTTCCATCACGGCCCCGGCCCCATCGCGAACCCGTCGCTCTCCGCCAGCTGACCGGCGATACGCGCCTTCATCCTCAACGCGTCGACGTCCTGGCCGAGTGCGTCATTGCGTCGCGCCTGTCTGGCGATGTTTGGTCGCCACGCTCAAGTCGCGCTCGACGCGCTCGCTCGCCCCTTGCTTCCGACCACCACCATGCCTCCCCGTCGACCTTCCTCCGTCTCCTCCTCTGCCGCTCCCTCACTGCTTTTCCTCCGCCGCCCAGCTGGCCGACCCGTCGTCTCGCTTTCCCATGCCTCAACACGACCGCGCGCCATTCCTCCCTCGCTACCTCAGTCCGCCCCATAAGCCGCCCTACGACGCGTCTTATCAACTTGAATGGTGTTCTTATCCATCCCAGACGCGTTTTCCTCCCCCTCGACGCGTCGTCCTCACCATAACCCGTCGAGCTCCGTCTTGGCGTGTCCTCTTTGACGCTGACGCGACTTACGCGTCTTTTGCCCATCCGACACGGGTCTCAACTCCCTCGAAGCGTGTTCTCACCATAAGACCTCGTGCATCTCTAGGTACGCCCGCTTACACGACCCTGGAAGTTTTTACTCATTTCTCGCTTCGACACGCCGGCGCTAATCGCCTTTTCGTCCGCAACCCTCGAGACTATATTCGCGTACGTCGTTTTCACTACACAATTCACACCGCTGTCGCTTACCATCATCGTAGTGCACTTCTCCTTTGCACGTAGGCTGCCCGGCTCGCTAGGTGAGTACTCACATATCTTATCGGGATCAGATGACTTACATATTTCCTAGGTGACCCGTGGTCAGTTCCACGCCTGCTGAGCCCACCCACTCGCTTCGATACGTTTGTTTCGCTTGTGTATGCGCCAAAGGCTTGACAACTTTTTGTATTCTATCATCTCCATATTAGATGCTCTATGTAATCATTTAATTGAATTTTGCTTTATTCGCTGTATATGTATCAATGCAGCCGGGCGAATATGGACAGTATATTGTGCGGCCTCATTAGGCTTTGGGCCTGTGAGGAGGCCTCAGGAGGCCTTGGAGCACACGCGAGGCTGAGAGGCTGGCGAGGATCGTGGGGGGCTCTCATTTTTGGATCAGGTGTATATTGGGCCTCCTGCCGGCGCCCAAGGATCGCGCAGGCTTCCGGCCTTCCCGGCCTCCTGGCGCCTCGCGGGTGCCTTCTAAATGCGAACGTCGATGACCTCATCGCCGACCAATCCGGCTTCCGAGGAGAGTCATGCAGCTTAACCTCCTCTCGACCAAGATCCCGCTATACACGGACAGGAATGTACCGCCTCTCGCATACCGCCGAGTCATCATTGCGCTCTCATCAAGCTCGTAGACCGTTCTCACTACGAAGTTATACGCATCTGCGCGCCTCTACCTTCTTGTCGAAAGATCGGCTACGCAGCGTAACGGTCCTCCCCGCGTCATCGCTATGCTTCTTCGTGACCACTTCGAGATCCAGCATAAGAAGTTCGCCGTCTGAATGTCCCTCGTTTCTAGCCTTGAATGCTGCCCTTTACCGCATCATGTACACGACCTTGACGGTGCACTACACGCTGCTGGGCTGTGGGACTGGCCTCAGAGGCAGTCCTCACTAGATGGCGATGAGATGGTCACACTGTAGGGGACAGGAACAATGCATATTTCGAAGCGTAAGAACAAGAAGGACCGAATATAAGGAAAAGGTGAGTAGCAACTATGAGAGAGACAATGTATAAGTGATCCGCGAAGTGGAATATGGACATGATCATGTGAGGAAAGCGAACATGACTGGAACGCAACCGAGACAAGGATGTTCAAGACGTGGGTTTACATGAGCTATTCATCTATTGTATAGGTGTTAGATCGTATGTCTCCTCAAGGACTTGTAGCTTGTTCAAGTCATACGGGGACAGATCTGCCAGCCAACCCTACATATCGTCAGACGGAGGAGCATCTTCGGGGACTTCAAGATCGTACTGTATGATAGCAATTGCGCGGGAGGCCAATGGGCGCGACAGAACTCCGATTGACTTTCGACGAGTGCTTGCGACGACGAGAGGTAGCGCCACGCCGCGTGCGGCGTCCAACGCGCGACTTCTCAATATTCGCCACAAGTGGATCCAGTGAGTGATACCATCCTTGGAATTCGAGACTCCGCCAGCTGGGAGCAACGCGGACGACTGTGTCCTGATGGCGGTCCGCTTCGTCCATATCATCCGATGATTCGTCTGAACTGACACCTCTAGCACCCGCCGTCGACACGAGCGCATGATGATGTGGGGCATATTGTGTGATCGCGGCCAGTCGTTTCCTATAAAGCTGCCAGATATTTAGTGCGCCTCTCTGCTTCTTCTGATCAATGACGACGTACGCGCTGCTTTCTGGATTTGCGGGAATTTGTCGCCAGGCGACTAGCCATTGCTTCTTCAGACTCTTGAACGACGAATCTGCGATACCAAACGGCTTTGGCCATCTTCGCGTGATTGTATATTGCCGCCTCTACATTGCGTAGGATGAGGAATATGCACGGCAATGGTGCCGGACGACTATAGGCCCCATCGCTGACATGCTTGAGAAACGAGATTGAAAAGACGCGCAGTGCTTCCAAGTTGAAAGGGTGGGATCGACTCAGTTGGAAGTCAAAGCGGAAGTGCTCCTCGGTGGTGGTTACGCGGCCGGGTAGGTTGCCGAGATATTGTTGTTGTTCCAAAATAGTCAAAGGTTGGCAGTGTGAGGACGACGGATCTAAAGCCTGAAGGCTTTTCACTCCGAGTAGGTAGAGAAAGTGCGCCCGGATCGCGGCCTACAGGCGGCATGAGTTTCTACTAAACCCAAGTATTGAGCTGGTACTTACAAGAAAATGGCGATAACGAGGGTGCCAGGTGAGGGCGATGGGAACCTCGACGTCAGTATCCCGTAACGACGGACCAGGCCCGTCGGCGCCGACAACTTTTCGACGCTTGGCAGGACGTTCTACGTTGACTTCCCGATCCAACTCTCGGATAGAGATGTCCCGTTCCGCGTTGACCTCTGCAGCTCAGCGATGTCAGATAACGCACACAATAACCCTTAAGAGTTAGAACACACCCGTAGAGCCCGAAGTCGTCGCTCTGACATCATCGCTGAAGCCCTTGTTGCCACGGCGCAGGAAGAAGGGAACTTGGGTCAAGTTACCGAGGGCGCTCGCCAAAAACTTTCTCGTTGCCCTTAAGACCGCGGCGACGGTGAACTCATCATCTGCGTGCGAAGAGTAATCGTTATGGTGGACGCGTTCGTCTGAGGAAGCAAGGATTGTAGACGGGGTTTGCCTCTCTGTCGGGCCGACTGCTGCTATGCGGATAAGTGAGTTGATTGATGTTGATGAGGGGCTGCCACATACTGTTGCCTGATTCTGGACCTTCGCGAGTAGCGTCGGAGGACGGTTCTACACATCTGGGTTGTCCGACCAGCGTACGATCCGAGTGCATTCCGTCACTGAATTCAGAGAGATCTCTCTTCTTTGGAAGATGTGCCATGAGGATAGAGAGCAAGGTTCAGTAGAGCGCGTCGAAGGTGGAGGAGTGCAGGGCGGTTGACAGCATTGCCGTAGACTAAATACAATCCGATCCGCCGAGGCCACAAAGAGCATGGACCAATCGTCTGTTGTATCTGCGTTCTTGGGAAGACAAAGAGATCCTTGAAGTCGAATAGCGGGTCGATAACGCTTTGTATCATTGCTGGTATCCGAAGGCAAGACGCCATCCGGCCAAAAAGCGCAAACCCACGGGTGCTGCCACGTGGGTGCTAGCACTCTTGCTGCCCTTTCCCCGTGTCATTGCTGGCATTCGAAGGCAAGGCGCCATCAGGCCAAAAAGCGCAAACCCACGGGTACTGCCGCCCTTTCCCCTTTCCTTCCTTTACGACCTTTCCCGTCATGGCTGAGCCCATCACGTATGACAGTGCTGCTACGTGATCGACCTCATGATCGCTCGAGCGCAACATCGTAGCCACCCTCGACAAGCAGAGAATGCAATATATTCTTCATGTGAGTTTCCTCACGAGATCTGACCCAATCATTGCTGATCAATGCGCCAGGCGCAAACCCATGACTGGGATGCCAAGTTCCGGAGTTGGATATGTTCACCCATGCCGGCGTCCGATATGCAGCCTCGGGGACTAAAAGCTTGTTTCTTCTCTTGCCTCGTCTACGTTCAGTCTACTTCCAGCCTATCTAGAAGGAGTTAGAAACTCGAACTCGGTCCGAGATACGCCGGTCCTTGACGCATCGCCCATCATGGGAAAATGCGAACAAAGGAACGGGCGTCACGATTATCGCGCTGCCACCGTTCGACCCCTCAAAGAGTGGAGCTTTGCCTGCAACCTCGATCTGCCTTCCACCGCGCTCAAAGTACCGCGCTCAAAGTACCACTCGGCTCCAAATGGTGTATCTGCAGTCCTGTATCATGGACGCCGGCTCTGAGCACAACTCAGATATCATCACGCTGTCTTTCTCCCCGACAGGATCCTACTTGGCTACCGGTGACGAGAGCGGGCATGTAGTCGTCTGGGATGTGCCTTCAGGGAAGAAGGAGACCAAGTTTTACCCCGATCTGGGTGCTGCCACTGCCCTATTGTGGGCACCGTTCAGTCTTCGTACTCTTATGATTGGCGGAGAACGTGGTTCAGGTTCCGTCGTCTCGGACGTACTCACAGTAACGTCTTTTCTTCTGGCATGAGCAGCGTCATCTGACTCACGGGGCGGTAGGAGAACCTGACCGCCTTCATCAAGACCGGCACCTACAACGTCATTAACAGTATGGACGTCGACGTGGAGACCCGCATGCTAGCGCTCGCGGTCGGACCTGAGGTTCACCTGGCGATGTCAATGGGTGTTGCTGGTGAGCGTTGTACGTGTGCGGGAGCCCTTACGATCTTTGATGTTTCTCAACTAGGGCATTACATCTCGAACCGTGTGTTTCCCAAACCTCACAGCCCACCCGGATTGCAGGGCGACATACATGTGCGGCCCAGAGTTGTGCATCTAGAACGAGGCGCAAAGAAACTGATTGTGGCCTACTTGACCCACGGTATCGTGTAGGCGTGGAAATAATGCCAATGTCTGTCCCGTCGGCTGACTATATTCATTTCACTGCAGGTGCTGGGATGCAGAGCAAGAGACGCAACTCTGGCAGATATTTCCTGAATCGCGGGTTGTGTGAGCATTCTACACGTACTCTTGTATACTTGCTCATGCGCGGTCAGTGGATTCACGGCTGTCTCCAAAGATTTCTGCTTCGTTTTCGTATCGACGATAACTGGAAAAGCGGAGCTATACTACGCTAAGGACTCGAACAAGCGCCCACGAGTGGTCGTCATCTACGACAACAATCAACCGGGCCCTCGTCAGCCTTCTCGTGTAGCGCTGCTGGATCATGAAAGCAATATTGCATGTGGATCGGAAGAGGGGGTGATAAGGGTGTGGGACTTGAAGGGTGAATTACAGCAAGAGTTGCGGCCTATGGAGGGAGGTCAGTTTGATTTGTGTCGAGGGACCCGGATAACATGTTGCGCTGACGCACTGAGCCCAGATCATCCGATTCGCCTCATCACTGTGCGTATCCTGACTCAGCCATCCCATTTCCTTGTCTCAGCCCTCATAGGCTCAAGCTGCTCGGGGAACGGGACACCTAGCTGGGGTTATCAACGCCAGCGACGCCCCTGACATCCTGCTTTCGAACAAAATTTATTTGTTTTCGAACAAGTTCGGTACGCAGTGCTATTCTTCCCGCTGAGACATATCATTGACTTCGGCTCGAGACCGTGGCTATTGGAATATGGTCTTCGATTTTATGTTTGCATCTGACGTATGTGATACCCCGTGCGTCTCTAGACGGGTACACTGACCCTATGACAGGCGCTCCACGTGCAAGAGAAAGCAGAACATGCGGCGCTCCTTCTCTCGCGTTATGCATATGCTATCTGTTCCATTCTCGTCCTGGCCGTTGCCGCTCTATCTTCGCGCTTGCCTTTTGTTCGCGAGCGAACGGTGAGACATATCTCTAGGCTGTCTCAATACGCAATACTAATCTATCTCAGTTGCCTCAAGTTAGTGCATGGGTGAGAAGCATAACGAGTCCGCAAAAGAATTTCGCTGACGTATCACAGACGTCTTTCATCGTCGAAGTTCTGTATGACCTGCTTCTACTGATGCAGGGTCTTGCCGCATCACTCAAGGTCATTGCCACAGAAGCATTCAGGAGTGCTATGCGCGGTGCTGCTACTTACTTGAACGATCTAGCTAATGATGAGAATGTCTAACTGTAACACATTGCAATCCACACGTTCTATCACGCTTTATCTCAGGCTCTACGCCGGGGCATTATCAGACAATTGTCCTTCTGATGATGCAAAGAAGTACAATACAGGAAGAAATAATGAAGTGTGACAGGCATACGAACGTAGACCATGTAGAGATCAACGCCGAGGAAACGATCAAATGGCACCGAAGATCGAGATTCGTGACCGTCCCGTCTCAGCTCGTTCGGCCCTTCCTAGAGCTCTGACCAACGAGGAAGAGAGGGACGTGAATTCTTAGGAAGCTAAGAGGGTTGCACGTGATTTGATTACCATGATAGAGGATCGAAATGGAGGAGGGACCGAGATAGATAAGTAGGTATAGCAAAGGAGAGAGTATCGGACGTAAAGTTCATCCTTAGCATCGCCTGGGCGCGAATTGCGAGCGGGCAGTGGTGAGGGCACGGCACGAAGAACTTAACACTAGAGTACTGGTGAGGCAACGCCGAGGTCCGGAGAAGAGGGTGTGGGTGTTAATGGAGTGAGAAAGAGTGCCTAAGATGTGAGGGGCGGAGGAAGCGATGATCAAAAGACGAGGAAGACGCCAGCGTGTGCGGACGACGAGCGGCACGAGGCAGCGGTATTTCAGCACGCGAAAATACAGAGGTTTCGTGTTTTCCGTCCTTACTGGGCTGCGTCTGCGTCTCTTCGAATTCGCCATCGCCCTTCGCAGGGTCTACTTCAACTGCTTGACCCTGACCTTCACTCGTATCCCGTCTGCTCGCCCTCATCGTCGTCGTTGGCAGCCTTCGTGGAGCGCTCACCGGCACAGATAAGCTTCTCTGGCGCGATTGACCAGTCAGCCTGACACCACGGACACTTCCCGCTCCGTTTCTGATACTGGCCATAGCAGGGGACGTGCATCCAGATACCGCACGGTCCCGTTGGGCATGCGACGCCCTTCGTGAGAAGTTCAAGGCACATTTGGCATTCAAGAAGATCATCAGGGTACGTCTTGCGAAGGTATGAGCGTAGTTCCAGGAGGCTGCGCGCGCTCAGGGAGTATTGACCTTTCCTGACGTGGGGGTTTTGAGTCAGATCCGATGGTTGAGAGCAAGAACATGTTATACAGACCTGCTCTTGAGCAACCAGCCTCGGGCAACGAAACTCGCGAGGACGGTTTCAGCACCGGGTTTGGTCATGTTCGCTGGCTTCACTGGATCCCGCATCGCCGCGATCGAGGAGATGCTGTACGCGTGGTCGGGTGCCAAAATAATTTCTTCAACCTGTTATTGCGTGTTGCGTGGCCGTTCCTATGAGACATAGAGGCTGAAGCTACGTACCAGAGCTTTGAAGTACGTAATCTCCGACGGTGATAAGTCAGAAGCAACTTGGGCAACCTCATCATCGCGTCGATTAACCTGAATAATCAGATCGCTATGATGAAGACGGAGTGCGAGAATGACCATCGTACCAAAGCCCACATCTCCACCCCAGTTATCTCATCATGGCCACGTGAGAACTCAAGATCGAAACTGTTCAACGATTGGTTGACCTCCTTTACTAGTTCGTCCCAGGGGATATCTTGCACAAAGACGCTTTCGTCGACAGCTGCAGCGCATGATTGAGCCTCTCCTGCTTGCGAGCGTGCATTATGCAGACACACCCATAACATCCTCGCGACATTTGTGCCAGAGAGCCTGAGCCAGGTGCGTGGTCATGTATCGGCGCAAGAGTATGGCTTGTATGAAGAGTTTACGCGCGTCGGAAGCGTCCGCCATGGAAGTCAATGTCAAAGATGTTGAGGCGCGTTGCGACTCACGAACGGGCCAACCCCGGCCCGTCGTGATCCGGCAGGGTCCGGGGACCAGCACCATTCTGTGGACCACTCTTGCGCCGAAATGTCACGACCCATCCAGGGCCCTCGAATCCGTTTCTTCTTTGCATGTATACCCGTCCTCTGAACCTCGATCTAACGAACGCGTGTAGCCGTGTTGATAATCCACCTAAGCGCGAGGGCTGGCTTCTTGTCTCTTGATAACTCGGCGTTGAGAACCACTTCCCGGATCTCAAGCTCTCAAACTGCGGCAGGAGCTATACACTTTGTTGCCACACTGCTTGACAATCGCCTGGCCTGGATCCATATCCTCGTTTACCCTCTGTCCATCTTGCTGTACATGTCAACATGCCATCTAGCGGGACGATGTCGTCAAGCACATGAACCGCTGAGTCAATGCCCCAAGTCGCGCGGGATGCTGTCCATACCTGGACGCGCCAAGGGGCCTTCTTTCTTCTCCCCGGGTGTTCCTGCTCCCGATATGATTATCCTTTGGTCTACTGGATGCCCGTTAGCCTCGAGCAATGACAGACTGACGGTTGGTGCGCCTTCAACTTCAATCATACTTCTTATACTTCGGTGCTCACAGTTACATGTAGGCGGGTATCTTGTCTTGACTATCAGTATGACTGAGACTTCCCAATTTCCCTCCGCGTGGCCATCGCCCTGTGGGGACCTTCCTGACTGGAGGCCGCCCCCACTCTTCCCGCTTGAAATAGGAGGAATACAATATGTGTGTACGAAACAATAGGATTGAGACCGCGACCGCGCGTGTTCATGGCAGGACAATCATTCATACGTCATTGGCCAGGCGTCAGTACTACCCAATTGCCTCCCGTAATGGTTTATGGCACATCGCCATCCTGGATACAAACTCTGTGGCTGCGCACTTGAGTGTGTCAGACGTCCAATTTAGTAGCGAGGTTTTGGACAAGGCTGCTCTGATGTCTTGTCTGCGGAGGGTGCGTTATACTAGTGCAGCAGCCTCGCAGTAGGACTAATCCTCTTCAAAGCGTCCCCGGTCGAACCTCAGGTCTACGAATAGAGACCAATCTTGCATCACTGGTAAAGGTGCCGTATGCGGGTCCTACGCGATGTCTGCACCCGTGAGTCAGATACATGCTGAGGCCAGCCTACGCATACGACGAAATCTGATGTCCATTCCAGGTATTGCAGCCATAACCCCCTGTCTACCGCCGTGGTGCCACTCGGGTAGAGCCCTGACATACCATCCCCCACCGGTGCATCCGTATGTCTTCAGCCTCTACTCAAACTTGGCAGACTCGTGCTCATACCTATCTCTCTATTTGTGAGGTCTCCGGCAGCTCAGCTCAATGGCCCTGTGAGATCGCTCTATTTCACCAGCGACTCTACGTAGTGTACAGTGTTCGTGTTCTCTTGTGTATCTGGTCCGAAACAAATCCTTCGTGCTCTGTCTTATATCCCCTAGCTAAGATTCCGCAGCCTTCTTGAACTTACTACGCTAAACACAGCCTCTTCGTACATATGTTCCATAGTCTCGAGTCTATAAAACCGTTGGTTCGCGATAGGGAACTCGATGCCGCGCTCTAGGTGCGACTCGGGCATGGGAACGATCCCCGAGGCAAGCCCAAGGCGACGCGCAGCTGGGCAGTGCAGCACCATTTGTTGCGTTCATCCTCCACCTATCACCATCTGCGATGGGTCGGTGAGCTTCGCTTGCCTCTTCACCGGCTGACACACAGGGTGATCTTATCTGCTCACGAAATCTCTACACTATTAGACTACAGTTCTTATCCAGGGTCGCTCTTCACTACAATTAACAACAGAAACACACCACAAAGAAAGCCGCCGGCGAATCGCAGGGACCGTGTAACAGAGTTCTTGACGCGCCTTTTTCGGCTTTGACGCCAGGACGCGAAGAGCAAGACGCGTCTCGGCATTTGCCGTGATCCGCTCACGCGCGTGGCCCGGTGTGGCACCTCTCCCCCCTCCGACCTCCTCCTCGGCGTCCCCGCGTACGCCCGCGCTCTCGGTCGACCCGTACGATATTCGTACTGTACCATGCGGTACTGGCTGTCCAGGCTTGTCCCGAACCAGCCGCGGGGCGTCTCGGTACGCGCACATTTGCCTCCATGTTTCCGGCTCTCGTACTTCTTACCCCCAAGCGTCTCGTTTCCTGGCTCCTCCGCAGCCACGGAACCTCTTTATATCCTATGTCCTTACTATCCCCTTCCTATTCCACTCCCTTACGGCATTCTAGCCTCCGGGTTGCGCCTTCGGCACCCTCTTCTCCTCCTCCTCTCCCGAATCCCCTCTTCGCTACTGGTTAGCTTACCATTTCTTACTTTCTTATTGGTTCGTTCTTCTTATCTCTCTCTCTCTACCTTTTTGTACCCCAAAAGCGCTACAAATGACTCGACTGTAGCTACTATAAAACCTACTGTACGTCTGGCTATGTACTGCAGGCAATACACCCCCATTTGCCCCTTCTCTTCCGAGCTGCTGCGCCCTACGCTGCGACTCACCATCTAAGTTCATCCGCTAGCTATCCGGAAGCCCTCTAGCTTCCTCCGCTAGCCCCGAACTCGGTCGTACGGCTTAGCGCCGTCCGTCTTTCTGCTTCCTTTCTTGCTCCCGAGGTCTCGCCTCGGCGCCCTCTAGCGTCTCTCGCACTTACCGTGCTTCGTTGTTGTGTTGTTGGTGCTTCTTGTACCTTCAGCCCCGGCTTAGTACATCATTCTTTCTGAAGAGACTCGGTGCATCAGCATCTGGTCTGAATAGCGAGAGAGTCCTGAATGGCGAGAGTTACCAAATTGGGAAGCTCACCGGCACGCGAGCTGGTAAACGGCGACGCGCCGCAGACCGCGCGAGCAACCCCTGACACAGGAGGCGATACGTATGCGGATATAGTCCTTTTACGGAGCACAAGACATGGATACCAGGTCAACATGTCTGCCCGCAGGGTATGGCATGAGCATTGTGTAGTGGTCCCCGTGTGGTGAATAGGAGGCTGAGCCAAGGCTGAGCGCTGAGCGCCGAGCGCCGAACGCGCAAGCGGCCCCTGACACAGTCTATCTACATCACCGTAGGGCTGTCTAGCTCATTCGTAAGCTCTAACACACGCCGGGCCGGTGCTGTCGGTATACTGTACGCTCTTAGACTTAACCAGGCTACGGTAGTAAACCGCATTCTCATGGACACGCGGAGAGCGTCGAGGTGGTAAGATACGAGATCACCGGGCCGATCCGGGCATGAGGCTACAGCCCGTTTGAGCGTGTGTGAGTGATCATCGCCGCAGAGAGAAATTGCCTCATTAGGCAAATGACAACAACGTGGCATCTGGCCCCTGATTGAGTGCAAAAATGGCGTTACGGTTCAGGTTTCTTTTTCTCCCCATCAATTGCGACCATCCAACGCCAACTCGTACTCCATAGGAGAATTGCAGAAGGCCCTTCGTCGATCAGAGGTCCAGCAAGTTTACATGAGCTTCGGATACAGGTCGTGTAAGACAATGTGGGTAAGGATCATCCAGCGGCTTCTTGGCGAATTAGTATGGCCGCGCGATGCGACGCGCAAAAGCTCGAGAATGCGCGCTCGCGTGACCGTGTCGCGGTATCCCACGGACTGCGATCTGGACAGGCTGTGTCGCGCTTGTCGCATGCCATCCTGTACCACCAGGAGTTCTATCCTGACCAGCGCTATGGCTCCTCGCGCCAGTTCATCTAGGTCTCAGATGGGCGCCTTGCCGTCTGACTCAAGAGACTCACGACGTCCGGACACCCTTGAGGAAGACGAAGAAGTGGAAGGTGATATCACACAAGTCAGAGAAGGTGGACTCGACGGTGTAGGTGTCCATTTTCCGTGTGAACTCTGCTGAACGGATGAGGTCTCATCCACTGCACTACGCAGGATCTGCAAGAGCGCATCTCTGCGCTTGTACGTCTTGCTATCTTCAACGAACAGCGCAGAATGCCACTGAAGCGTGAAGAGATCTCAAAGAAAAGTCAGTACCCTCTTTCTTACATAGGATGATGGGCTGACTCTCATTTTACACATCGTATAGTCATGGGATCTCAACGCGGTATATTCAAAACCGTCTTCGACGGCGCGCAAGAACGTCTTCGCGCCGTCTTTGGTCTGGAACTCGTCGAGTTACGAACACGCGCAGCTAAGCAAGATGTTCCTCCTAGAGGTGGCAACTCCGGCAAACGCAAACGCGGCGCAGATGCCCTTCCTCAGTCGCAGCCATCCGGCTCGCAAACTTCCAAATCGCGACCACAAGACAGTGTCGGCGCCGCGAAGAACCGTGGTGCTGCCGCATCCGGCGCGAAAGCCTATATCCTGCGCTCAACGCTGCCCGCCGGCCTGATAGAGCGCGCGACTCGCACCCAATCATCCGTGCTTGATGCTGAGATGGTCGATGCGCCAGATATCTTCGACGAGGGCAGGGTCAGCGCCCGGCCGTATGGCAGTGTTCTTGCATGGAACACGGGCGATCATCTTGCTGCTCTCGGCATCGTGCATGTTATTTTAGCACTCATTCTTGTCAATGGCAAGGTTATCAGGGATGGTGAACCGGCCTCTTTTCTTTCATCGTAGCTATTAGCTCACTATTGGCCGACTCAGGTGCCCTTCGCGACGCCCTCAGGCGCTTGCGCTTGTGTGCAGGCGATGTCGTCGATTTTCCAGCAACCGCACCGCACCGCGCGACACCCCTAGATGTGTTTCTGACCGATCTCATTCGTCGGCAATACCTCGATCGTTCTCTTATAGGCGGTACAGTAGGCAAACACGGACCCAACACCGCATCACAGGCGCAGAACGACCGCGGAGGTGAGGCTTACGAGTGGCGCTGGGGCCCGCGCGCATTTGCTGAAATCGGCGAGCTGGGTATCGCCCGCTTTGTAGCGGAGTTCATGGCTGAGCGGCGCATGGCTCCTAGTGCGGAGAGTAGTGACGACGACGAAGGAGAGGCTAGCACGCGCCGTCGCAAGACACAGCCTGAGAACGAGAACAAGAAGTTAGAAGTCTATATGCACGGCATCGAGCGCGCTGCTGGAAGCCCACTGTCCGATGTTCTCTCGGTGTGAGGACACCCGTCGCGTCGTGTAACGTTACGAAGTAAGGATACATTCGGACAGGAGTCATGTCGCTATCAATAGAGTTTGCTCAAGTTGTATTGTCCATCCTGTTCAGCATTGTGCCTGATCGGCACTTCATCGGTGTCGCTTTTACTGGAAGGACGTACCTGCAGTAGAGCTAGTCTGTATCTCGATCCACCCGCGAGACCGTTGTCGCGCCTTCGGTCGTAAGAGGATGCAGGTGCGGTGTGGGAAACAGTCTTAGCTCTGCAATGTACCGCGATGTCGCGAGGCTCTGGGGCTCCGCGAAGGTGCTTTCGGATAGCTTTTTGCGACGAACACGATCTTTAGACTACTCTCGCAACTACTATAGTGCAAGATATCGCTTTTCATACTATCAACTCGAAGGATCCGAGCGCTCAGTGATGGTACTTCCAACATGGCCTTGAACACTACCACAGTCCGTATGTACTGACATGGTATACGGCCGTGAGGCGCACGTAGCGCGCCGAACATAGTCGCGCCGGCGCCGGGATGCTGAGGGCCGAGCGGAGCGAGAACCTCGGCGTCGAAGATGAACATCCGTCGTGGCGCGGCGCGAGGCGCCGCGACGGGACAGGGCAGGGCAGGGAGGATGCTGGTGAGCTGTAGCAGGATATCGTTGGCTGTTGCTTCTTGGTATGATCTCAAAGTGTCCGTAGTTGCGCAGGTGATCATGTACTCTATATCTCAAAGCTATTGTGACCTAACTTTCAGATAGTGTATCATGTATTATTTCATTGTACCAAGAGAATACATGGATTATAGGCCTTAGCCTTACTCGTAGTATAGAATCAACCCACATTGAACATTACTATAGGGCATAAGTCAATCGGCCTTGAACAGATTGCCCCGTCGCGGCGCTTCACGCCGCGCGGCGACGAATGCTCATCTTCGACGCCGAGGTCCTCGCTCCGCTCGGCCCTCAGCATTCCAGCGCCGGCGCAACTACATTCGGCGCGCTACGCGCACCTCACCGCTGTGATACGAAGGCGAGGGATGTACAGACAGGCCTTACCGCCGCGGAGAGTGGACCTGACCACAGCCATGACCCAGTGCTCGGATCTTTCCGAGACCTGCGAGCGAGGACGGTGAGTTCGCAGAGCATCTGGTGAATGGTACCATATCGTGTGGAGTCCGGCCATAACAGGGCTTTGACTCAATTGCAGGGAAAGCTCTCCCTCGACCTTATCCTGTAGTGAGCGTTGGTAAGCGACATCGCCAGGATTCTGAGCAGCGAGTGAAAAGGCTGGCCATGCGACGTAGATGGCCAAGGCCGAGAGTCCTCGTCGGAAGGAGTTGGAAAGATTGATCTGACTGTACCTATAAGTACGGGTTGCACAACCCCCGTCCGAGCCGTCGCGGTGGTTCGGTGTCGCGGGCCGTTCGATCCGCCACGGGATGTCTGAACTTCCTGCCCGAACGGGACAGTCGAACAATCCCGACCTCTAATCGCCGCGCCGAATAAACCGAAGGTTCGCCAGCGGTTTCGCACCGCGATCGACGAGCAGACTTTACTTATAAGTAGAGCTTGTCTCGGCATGGTGCTACTACTGAGAGACCGGCCGGCTATCCGGCGGTTGCTAGTTCGGCGACGAATGTGAGAAGCGCCGTTTCAGGTCCGGACCGCCTACCGCTGGTGTCACCCCTATCGCAATGCCATCCCCATTGTGCTTCCCTCCACGACCCTGTGGCCTCGGACACGCTCAGTTAGAATCAGCAGAAGCTATAGCGGATTCACCCGACGTTGACTTTCGGCCTTTTCAGTCATGTTACAAGATCCGGAAGTCCGATTGCTGAGTGTTACCTATTATGGCAATTGACAGCAACGTGGCGCGCATGCAGGTCGCCTTTAGGAACATCAAGGCGACCCTAAGACCTTTGCGCTACCACGATCGATGGCGGACAAGAGCGTGCTGGTCTTGACACCTTACACTGCGGAACCTTTACCCAGTCAACGAAGAGGACTTCATCGTAACCACGGGGCGCGCGCCGGCTACATCCTGTTACCCTGGTGTAGCAGTCTTCCATGGTCACTTCCACGAGCGGGCACAAAACAAGCAAAGAAGAGCTGACGCGACGCTCTCGTATCCCTCCTGCCGGAAGGTTGAAATTCCGGAATGCACTGAATGGCTACGACTCCACAAAGCCGATGGACTATAGAGAGCGAGCCACGCACCTGTAGGACGCTCTGTCAAGGAGATGAGAGAACGATGCCACCGAAGTCTGAACGCCTTTGTTGTCTTGTGCCATTGCCGGGAGTTTCCGCCTTTGAGTGCTACTTGGGTATAAGGGTGCGGCCCTCATCCTCGCATTCGTGAATCATTCTCAATCGGCTTCAGCTCTCGATGGCCGTCACCCGCACCTCGAGAACGCTTGTCCGGCGGTCTTCTCGCCTAAGCGCGCCAGCGCTCCCTGGTAAGACACTGGTCTCCTCATACAGCGTGGAACCTCCTGATGTCCGAATACATCTTAGGCTATAAGGGCATGGTTGTACTCCCATATCTTGATCTCGAGGCCGCGAAGTCGCCAACAATGATGTCGAGCTCCCTGCGCAAGCGAAACACGGCAACGCGGGTATCGCAAGACGTCGCTGGGCCAGTCAGTCGCGATCATCTGGTCACTGCGGAGGCCTCTGCCAGCGTAAACCCCGGGCCCACATCTGGCAGGGAGTCAGCTCGCGCTCGCGCTCAGATGGCGGAGGTTGACACGACGGCTCGTACAGGCGACGATGTTCATCATTGCGTAGCCTTGTACGTACCGATTCCGCAGTGTCGCCTCATAACTAAGCTTTCTGGTACCAGATTGCGAGGGATAAGCGTCGAGATCTTTTGCTCGGACGCCGCATTGGCAGAGTGCCGTGCTACATTCCGTGCCGCCATAGATCTTTCCAGTGGTCAAGCGCCGTACCACGAGGGGGGCAACTACGAAGATTTTCAACGAGGTTGTCATGACAGTCCGAATCCGTACTCTGCCGAAGCCGTTTTGCTTCTGCTCTTCGAGATGCAGGCGCGCGGGCATAGTCTCGCAGAGTTACGAGAGCATCGTGATGCCATGCAACGTCATTGGCAGGCGCTTGCGTCGTACGTCATTCCATGAAGCGACTGGTCATCAAGCTGATGCTAAAATAATCCTCGCAGGGATAATATCGATCTAGAGGGTGAATGGAGGTTCGACACAACCTTGAACGTGTGGAAGGGGAATCCGTGCCAGTCGTCGTGCATGCTTTATGCATTTACGCGCATAACGGTCTGGGTCGTGCGCAAGCTCATAGAGAGGACCGAAGCCTGGCGGGAACTACACGGCCTGTAACGATTTAGAAGTCTCCCTGTCGACGCTACGACTTCATACACAGCGCAACCGAGCGTGGCATATATCATCGCGCCAGCGAGGATCCTGGCCCGCCGCGCGTTCCTAGATTCGTGCTTTTATTGTAGATAGTGATTGGGGAATAGAAATGACCTGATGACATATGCGCACTGCCGCCTCTGGTTTCCTGTTATTGGCAAGGCGTCGTACAAGCCTGAGTACAGAGAAAGCCCGCTCACAACGTAAGGAACCGAAGACTCAAGGCACCACCCTATAGTAACTCATACTACTCTACATGGGCGCCAAAGACGGGAGCGCTTCAATTATCCAGTCAAGCAAACCTCTTCCCGTCCGAGGATTCGACGAAGGGCGTGGTGCGAAAGCAGCAACCTGGGTGACGCGGCGCTGATCTAATTGACACGATGATACAACGGCCATGATCTGGAAAGCGTGTGCGTGCGCGTGTGCTCTGATCCATCGGCCACGGTATGCGCGTCTTTTCCTTGCCACCATCACCTTCCATCGCGATAGCTATCTTCTTCGGCCACCGACCTCCGCTTGGCCCCTTGTAGCCCCCTGCGTACATTCATACGGTCCCGCGTACGTGCCTTTCACGCGGGTACCCTTTCACGAACGCCACTCTATCTGATTATCTATCATGGGTTCTCTAATCGCCTTGCTGCGACCGTCTGCCACGCCCGCACCTCCCAACGCCGTCCCCTCTACGCCTGCTCCATTCCGTTGTATGCTGCGCGTTGCCTCCACCACCAACGTGCTCGGCTCCTACCATACTCGATATCGATCCCGAGGGAGTTGTTCGCTACATACCCATCTCCCTCCTCGACTTACTGTTGGCTCTGCAATGTCACGCCGTTTGCTACGTCATATTGTACACAGCGTACGCGGACTTCATCCAAACCCTTCACGGCTCCTACCAGCTGCTGTACTTTACTCAAGCTGCCGAATGATACGATTGCCCTTGCCTGCTGTCAGCAACGCCTGTACGCAGTGACCGCGGCTCGAATTGTTTCGCAGGGCCTGAGGGAACTCCGTGACGATGGGTCACTTAGGGTGGCGTGTCCGCAATGCAGCAATCACGGCAATCTCATCATGGTCTTTGTGGATGCGGTTGCATTGATCAAAGGTCGTTGGCTTGCGGGAATCGCTGAAAAGCATGCCCGAGGACGCGCGCACCAGACGAGTAACTTTCTTCATCTCTCATCCGCGCTCATTCACCAGAGAACCTGCGGTCATCCTACCCTACGATCGTCCAATTTGCCTGCGTTTCGTCACTCATTCGAACGAGGTAGGCGCTCGACGTTCAGCTCCATCCAAGATGTACGACGAAATTGAAACGATAGCAGCCATTCTATGCAGCCATGCCGCCGTATCGCAGCGTCAAAGGCCGAAGGTACTTCTGCAGATGTCCGACATGTAGGAAGAACAAGGCTTTCGACGGTGTCACCGGAAAGACCATCTGGGGAGTCTATCTCAACCACGACAAGTTTTACAGACACCAAGTAGAGTGGAGGGAAACCGAGCGGGCGGAGGTCGAGGATGCAATCGCCCTACAGACACTCCGCGAAGTGCCGGATAGGGATGGCTTTGTCCATGGTTAGTGCCTCGGATATCGCCCTGCGAGACTGTCTGACGAAATCGGTCCACCTCAGGTTCGGCCGGCACACAGCAGTTACGAGGTGCCAGCGGTGAAGGTGAGTCTTGTACCACCCTCGTGCCATCCGTTTGCCGACGAGTCGCGATAGGCTCCATCACCAGGGATGGAATACTGGAGGAGAGCTGTTCTCGGCCTGTCTGTATCAGTACGGTCGACTCTTCCATATCTGGTGTACAGATTGCAGACTGCAAGATAGACTCGCAGGAATCGAGGGACGCGAACGACCCGGCGCAGTTAAGAACGACGAATGGAGGTGCGATCCATGACACGTCAATGTGACTATGTCTCATCTTGGCCGCAGACATAGAAATGATAGGGACTATGCCTTCGACTGGGGCCGTTGCTGACGAAAACGGTGAGTGTCCACTTCAAGTTCATTGACCTGATCTCTGACCCTGCTAGTGCAAGAACCACCAGTGCTGCTCGACGAAACCGTCTTAATCGCTGATCAGTTTATGAAAGAGTGCCAATTCACGCTGGACGAAATGACGCGCAATTGGAAGGAACCCGTCTTGTCTTTTCACGGAGGCTTCACCGACGGGCACGCTGGAGGTCCTTATGGGCATCTTCGCCACAACGATAGCCCCGATAACTACCGCTTTCTGCACTCGAAGGAGACCGCAGTCAGGCTGCTCAAGCATATCGCCGACTACCCCGTCCCCTCCCATGCGCAGGAGATTGTGATCTTGAAGGAAGAGTTGACCCGGAAGGCGGATATGTGGAACCACAAGCACGACCAAGTGGCGCAGGAGCAATGGTTTCATCTTCGTACGGAGCTAAGATTCTACAATGAGGTCAACTTGCGTAAGATCGATACTTGTAAGTTGGTCGTTCTAGGCGCATGTAACCTGACACTGATACTTGGCTTTGAAGCTGGATATTTCTACGACTTCACGGGTTTCTCTGCGCCACACTTGGTTGGCATGCTCACCGCCATCGTCCTATATCTCATCTTCGGCGTGTCGCGCAATGCTTCCCACTTTCTCCTCTCGGCTATCCAGATCTTGATGGTAGAGCTCGTGACCGCCTTTTGTCACTCCCACGGCCTAGTTTTCCCGAATGCGTCGCTCGAAGTCACCCACGGCTGGCTGGTAGACATGCGATCGGTAATTCAGCGGTTCAACCTGAGTCCTCAATACGTTGAATACGCTAGGTGCCCCAACAAAAAATGTGGCGCGATTCATACCATCGACCCCACCAATCCCGATTTCGCCGATGTCTGCGGTCACAGGGGATGCCAAGCTCGTCTGTTCCGCCAATCGGTTCGTGTGGTCAATAAGGCTATGATCCCATCCTCTTCCACCCCGCATTCGACTTTCTGCTTTCAAAGTCCAAGCGCTTGGTTTGGACGGCTCCTCTCTCGGCACAATATAGAACACGGTCTCCTGTCGCACCCCGTCGCACCTGATAAGTCGGGACTGGAGCATGATTTCTGGTTTGGTCGGGCTGTGCGCGAGGTGTTGGACGAGCACAATAATCCCTTTTTCGGGTCGCCTGTACGTGACGGAGAGATTCGCCTAGCCGTCGGCTTATTTGTCGATTGGTTTAATCCATTCGGCAAACGCACCAGCAAGACCCAATCTGTTGGAGCCATATACATGGTCTGCATGAACATACCTCCGGACATCCGGTACCGCGTAGAGAACATGTGCTTGATTGGCGTCATACCCGGCCCGAAAGAGCCAGCACTGCAAAACTTGAACCATTATCTTTCGCCCATTGTTGACGACCTGCTTTCTCTCTGGACGCCTGGTATCGTTCTGAGTCGAACTGCAAAATCCTTCGACATCTTGGTACGGGCAGTACTGCTCCCGTTGATCGCGGACACACCCGCGATACGAAAGGCCCAAGGCGTGCTGGGTTTCTCATCGACCAAGGCTCCTTGTAGCCTCTGCGCGATCACCTCCGGCGAACTGTCCAATTTTGACTATCAAAGCTGGCCGCGGCGATCTTGGGCTTATCATCTACAACACGGACAAGCTTGGCGAGATGCGCCGAACGACGTGATCCGAGAGAAAATGGCCCTCAAGACAGGCATTCGCTGGTCTGAGCTATTGCGCCTACCTTATTGGAATCCGGCCAGGTTCTCGGTTGTTGATGCGATGCACAATCTGTTCTTGGGGGATATTGCCGCTCATCTGGTGTCTGCATGGGGGATGCGCTGGAAAGACCCTAGAGGGAGTAACTTGGCAAATGACGAGGAGCTTGCATCTGCTGCACTCGCTGACCCTTCAGACGCGGGGCCCACGAGACAGACACGGAAACCGCAGACCCCTGAAGATCAGCGGCGTGTCCTGAACATCGTACTGGAAGCTTGGAAGAAGCAGGATGAACACAAACTGTCCTCTGTACGATTGGATTACTTGCGCGCGGTCGCCACACTGAATGGTGTTCCCGGTACCGCATCTATGGGTACCAAGATCGACATAGCCAACGCTATGATTGCATGGATTGCAAAGTTTGGCGCGAATGCCATCAGGATGCCCTCTCCGATTCCCGAGACAGTGCTGTGGTTTGAATGTGATGAAACACCCGCAGACATAGGGGCTCGGATACTGGATAATGAAGAACTCGAATCCATCTGGCCGTTCACGACACGGATCTTCCTGCCATCGTGGATGGATCGGGGTCCGCGTCATTTTGGAAAGCCTGGTCAGGGTACATTGAAAGCTGACAACTGGCGTACCATCGGTACTGTTCTCCTGCCTCTCTCGCTTATTCTTCTATGGGGAAAGGGAGGATCCCGCCACGACGACTTCCATGAAAAACTACTGAAGAACTTTCTCCACCTCGTGGCAGCCGTGAACATAGCATCGCTGCATGCTACTTCTCAGGAGCGTAGACTGAATTATCTCAGGCATCTTCAAACCTACGCAGTTACACTCAAGCTCCTTCTTCCCAACTATCCCATTCGCCCCAACCTTCACATGAGCTTTCATATAGCAGAGGTCTTGGAGTTATTCGGACCTGTTGCGGCTTGGTGGACATTTCCCTTTGAGCGTTATAATGGTGTGATGCGCAATATACAGACGAATGGTCGCTTTGGTGAGTGGTTTGGTACATGTCCCAAAACACAGCTTACATACTGTTGCAGGTCAACTGGAGAAGACATTCTTTGAGGTCTTCTGTCGTGCCTGTAATCTACGAGCTCTCATGGAACAGGTCACGGAAGCCGGTCTTATCCCCTCCTTTACGGCGCTTCTCTCGAAGATACTCGGCGGAAACGTCCCAGGAGCCGATTCCTCGCCTCACAAGTCTCGTGCGAGCAAGCTCACTCCCGAGCAGATGGTGAAACTGGCGGCTCGGCTCAACAGTGAAGCCGACGAAGTTCAGTACTCCCTGGAGCCTGTCAAAGGATGCGTCCAACTCTCTCCTGAGGTCACCACGATCCCCTTTTTTGAGCGAAGAGGAGTCAAATACGCGTCGTCAGCCACCTCTCGACGTGACTGTGACGTTCTTGCCTATTTCCCACACGAAAGCAAAGGCATGACTGCCGGACGCATCACGGAGATATTCACGTATGTGTACCAGAATGCCGTTGGTTCTACGGCATCGGAGACGTTCGTGGTTTTTAGATGCTTCAAACCGCTCAGCGAAGCAGAAGCGGGACAGGATCCCTTCCGCGGCTACGACGGGATTGACGCTTGTTCTTACCATAACGAGCTGCTCCCCGAAGTCCATATTCTCAAAGCTGTGGAGGTTACTGCCCACTTTGCTGCTCTAATCTATCGAACACGGTTAGCGCTCGGAGAGTTCGAGGTTGACCTGGAAGCCGGAGAAACAGAGTCCTGGTTTCTACCAGTCGATGGAGAAAGGGGAGGAATAGGGTTCAAGGATCCAGCCGGTACCGAAGCGCACGAGTATGTCGCCGTACTTTCGTTATGCAGAGTGAGTAGCCCCGGTCACCTTCCTCGCAAATGTCCGAACTGACGAAGCTAGGATTGAAACTTCGCTCATGGCAGCAGCCGCGACGCATTGATACGATGAGTATAGCCGGACAGCGAGAAACAGAAACGGGCCGTCAATAGCGGAAGGATGACGTGTTTACGCTAGCAGTTGCGTGTGCCCTGCTATGACTTCGTCGGTTATGTTAAATCGTAGGGATATGGCTTCAAACGATCTGATATATGGCTAGTAATGATGCCTTCATGTACCCGCTGATTCTGCGCTTGTTCCCGCACTCGTTTGACGTTGGCGCTGCTCTGGCCTGCCGTTGGCGCTGCGCTGGTCTAGGCTGGTCTGCCGTTGGCGCTGCGCTTATCGACCGCTGGTCGACCGCTGGAGCTGCGCTGATCCGCCGCTGGGGCTGTGCTGACCCGTCGCTGGAGCTGCGCTGCCGCTTGCCGCTGCCGCTGTGCGCTGTCGCTGCAAAGGCGCTTGAGGAGAGTTCGAGGACGTTATTTTGAGTTTGAGTCGTGTTCATTGTGGGTTCCGGAATGCCCAAAATTTAAAGACTGGTCCAGGTCCTCACCTGGATTCGAAGGGTTCGAAACAATAAATACTCGTCGTTTGTGGAAGCAGTCCACCGGCGACGACGACAATAAAATAGTGTCGTGTGACCCACCAGATGGGACACGCGGCAGTCTAAAACTATTGGTCCGGAAATGATGCAATCGCATCTTAAAATCATGGTCAGGCGGCACGTCTTGAGGCACCTGTGCAGAATATTAAGTATCAAAGGGTACTAGAGCAGGTTCATACTCGTCTCGAAGAAGAAAAGTGCAGCCGTCAGTGTTGCAGCGACATGGTGGTTTACATATATTCTTCTTTGCAAGGGGGAGCTAACGAAAATCGCGCCGATGATAAGACACTTAGGCCGCTACTGACCGCGGCGCGGTACTAAGCAACTTGTGTAATTTCGCCCACATTCCCTTCATAAGTCCCCTGGGCAATTACCGCCTAATGCCTCCTGTGCTCAACGGAATTTTGTCCGGTACTGTCCAAGTGCGACGCAAAGAGTATCGTGATGGTCTGCCTGTGGTCCGGTGTACTTTCCGCAGTCCCTTGTGAAGAGACTGCTTCGGCGAGGTTGAGAAACAGACGCGACATCATGGACACAGATATGCTGTTCGAGGGCGTTTGAGTGACATAGTTCGTGATCGCGGTGAACGGGGCTCACCTACTAGCAACGGGTGCTAGGACCCCACGAAGACCATCCTGTTGCACGTAGAAGAATCCGATGTTGACCAGCGTGGATACAGCCATGATGGCGAAGTAGAAAGCTCCGTCGCGCCATACCAGGTTCACGAGACTAGTGCCGGTAAGGAACGTGCGACTCCTCCAAGATTGCTGGACCTGGAGTGTGTTGCGAATCGTCAAGCTGAAGATCAAGATGTCCCAGATGGCCTGTACGATCCATGCAAAGGAGATATCTACGAAGTTGAGCCATGAGCGCTCATGATGAATCGCGCAGAAGAGACTCACGGACACCACTGGGGATCTGTTAGCTCATGAGCACGATCGAAGTAGTAGAAAACGCACGATGCGAAGTCCGAAGCAATATGGCACCCAGCTGCAGCTTGGAGAACGTAAGAGCTTCCCCCGGTGATTGACCACTGTTCCGAGTCGCTGGTGAGCATGTCAATCAGACTGCTTCTATGCGGAGAGACCTACGCAGGCGAGAGGGATGAGAAGCACGAAAGCGCCAACGAGTACTGCAATGATACGCTTATCACGTTGATACAATGCTACAATACGTAAGGCGAGGAGCACTGAGGGGCCGATAAGACGCGGGTATTCCGAAGGAGCGTACGGAATACACACCAGCTACGACTGCCTGAGAGAATATGATTGATGCTTGACGAGCGACGTAGAAGGACTTGCATGTCTATTCGCAGGATATATGAGCCTCTATGCCTTGAGCCACGTTGTAGAACGTCTTGGCGCACGGATTCAGATGAACCGAACTCTGAGAAGCTGAAGACCACGTCACAATGAGCTAGTAGTTCATATGAGAGCAGAAGGGCGACATACCTGAAGATGATGGATACAATACAACTGGCAATTGGTACATAGCGGTTCAAGAAGAAGACTAGAGATGTCCGTGAGGTGGGATGTATCCACATGAGCCTGATTTCCTGAGAAAGAGTCAAGGTATAGTCGAACAGAAGCACGGCTACGTTGGGAATCACCCGGTCAGCATTCGTGCACGATGTATAACTCAAAGCTTGGGCGTACGTACTTGGCGCCACAACGTCCATGCATCCTTGTACCCAGCTGTGTCAATGGTAACGTTAGTAGGTTGACAAGGGTGTCAAAATGAGTGACGCACACTGAATACGCGTCCTGGGTAAGGCTCATCGCGAGCGCCCACGCGGCCTGTCGAGGCCAGTCAGTCAGCGTACAGGATTGCGATGGGGTGTCAGAAGAAGAAGGGTCACCGTCCTCGCCAGTAACGTTCTTTATACAGCACGGAGTCGTTCCTCCGTGAGACGCTTCTTGACCGGCCCGTCAACGATCCGACGTCTACAACGGTCTTCTATAGCCTAAGCGCCTAAGCGCCGAGCGCCAGGCCTTCGAACAGGAGAAGGCCGAGCGTTTGTAGCTGCTCCAAGACTCGCGGTAGACCTTCTGCGCGCACAAGCTCTCTCCATGGAGAGGATCGTCTTGCGCGATGGGTCGTACTTCGACAACGGTGTCGACGAGCGCTGATATTCGCGAACCGTCGCCTGTGGCTCCCACGCCCTACAGCTTTCCCGTGATGTACCCACCACGATTGTCGGAACGTCAATGATAGGAAGCTGGATGGCACCTCGCCGCAAAGCAGGGCACGTATCTCAGTGATCGCGCTGTGTGCTGCGCCTGAGCGTTCTCTTCACGGTAGGGCCTCGTGAAGGAAGACCAAGTCCACATTAGGGTTTGCATGTTCGCCTGACGAGGCGGACAAAGATGACTCTGCAGAGCACGCGAACCTCGACAGTAGTTCTGTGACGCATGTCGGGACAACTTGCACTCTCCTGTACATTCCAAGAGGGATATCACTGCGCGGCGAGGTCGCTGTGCTCAGCCTCTGCAGGTATTGAGTCACGCGATGACTCGCAGCGATGTATGAATGGTCATCGGCGCTCGACGCGCAGTTGGAGTTCTTAGCATTGGCGGTGTATGCGGCAGAAAATTGGATAGAGAACGTTTGAAGGCATCTAGGTGGTCGTTGGGATGAAAGAGCCGATGGTGCTCTCCATAAGCGATAACCCCGGTTATCAGTTTTCGCACGCTGATTAACCTCGTACAATGTAGGCGGTGAAGTTCAACACTCAGAACCGTGACGGCTAAGATGACAGAGGGGTATCATATGTGCAGACTTTGATATCTCTGGTGATACAACAGTGCTGCTAGTCCGTACATCTAATTGGTGATCATACTTCTCAGGGAGCCCAAGTGCCCCAATTTTGTTACACGGCTCTGGCATCCCTCGTAGTCATATCGTCCAATGCGTACTCCTCCGCTGCTGTGGAGTGTCGTCTGTGACGCCGGTGTGAGCTATAGTCTGAAAATGACACATCCGAGTCGGGATTGAACATGTCTCCGGGTATGGATGGCGTGTCTGGCGGCGCAGTGCTGTAGTACTCATCCTCTGAGGGATTGGAACGGCGCGCGTTGTCGTCCATGCGCGAAGCAAAGAGTAAGGTGATTGTCCTTCTGGTATCGAGTACGCCGTCCGTATTCACCGGAGAAGAGACTGCTTCGTGAAGGTTGAGGAACAGGCGCGACATCATGGACACGGATATGCTGTCAAAGTGCGTGTGAGCTGCGCCCCAATCGGGTGTCCGTATGCACGGACCTGCTCGCCACGGGTGCCAAAGTCCCACGAATGCCGTCGTCCTTCACGTAGAAGAAGCCAATATTGACGAATGTGGCTACAGCCATGATGCCGAAGTAGATGGCCCCGTCGCGCCAGACCAGGTCCACGAGGTTCGTGCCGGTGAGACGCGTGCGGCCCTCACGGAATCTGCGCACCCGGAACGTGCTGCGTATCATGAGCCCGAATATGAGAACGTCCCATATAGCTTGTGTCATCCATGCGAAGGACACATCTATAAAGCAGAGTTCATGTAGGCCCCACTGTAATCGTGAGAAGAGACGCACGGAGGCCGCTTGAAGTTCGTTAGCATATGCGGGATACTGTGAATGAGAAGATCCGCACGATGTGAAATCCAGAGCAATGTGACACCCAGATGTAGACGGTAGTACGAATGAGCTCCCTCCCGTGATTGACCACTGTTGATGTATGAGTTGCTGAGCCGACATTCTAAATGTACATGAAGACCGACGCAAGCGACCGGAAGCAACAGGACGAAGGCGATGGCGAGCACTGCAGCAATGCGGCGGTCGCGGTGGTGCAGTGCGATAATTCGTAGGGCAAGAAGAACTTCGTATGTGAGTTAGAGCGTAACTTGACATGGAATGAGGAAGAACTCACCGCCTACCACAACCTGGGAGAATATTATCGATGCCTCATGGGCTATGAAGAAGGTTTTGCATGTCTGGCGCATGTGGTCATTGAAGCCGTCGGGGCCATACGAGTAAAACGAGGCGAATGTACCGATTCATTGGAGGCAAACTCCGCAAAGCTGGGTACACGGTCAGCGTATGGCTACTTGAAGGGCATAACGTGACGCACCTGAAAACTACAGACACAATACTGGTAACAATGGGGATATAGCGATTCACAAAGAAGACTATGGATGGTCGTGACGATGGGCGTTCCCATATGAGCTCGATTTCGCGAGGTAGAGTGAGGAAATAATCAAAGAATAAGATAGCTGTATCGGAATCCCAATCAGCAGGGCTCCTGAGGGACAAGCTATAGCCAGTACGTACTGGGAGCCACAACATCCAGGCAGCCTTGTATCCAGCTGCACGGAACTGAGCGTCAGATAAGTGTCATAGTCCCTGACAAGCGACGTACACCGACTGCGCGCTCTGGGCGAGGCTCATGTCGAGCTGCTACGCGACGTGGTGCGGCCACTCAGTCGGCGTGTATGATGGTGGCGAGGTGACAAAGAGTGAAGACCTGCTCTCCTGTCAGCGGCGTACCCTATATAGACTTACTCTTCCGTGAGATGCTTCTTTGCCGTTCAGGATCCGAGCATCTCGAAACTGTTCAGCAATCAGCGGAATCACCGGTTCTTCTTCGCAGGCTCAGCAGGCGTTAGGGCTCCCTCACGCAGAGGTTCGATGACCATGCAAGGAGTGTACTATCACAGGTCCGTGTCCGAACGCGCAGGCCGCGACGTGCCATTAGGCTAAGGTGGTGGACGTTCTCAGTCTAAGCGAGGCCGCGTATAGGCGCTTCGGTCGTTGCCGATTGCTTCCCACGTACTATGAACGTCGAATCTTGCCGGTAGCTGCCGTCAACCAGTATATCACTACAACTAGATGGACGCCAAGAACAGTGTAACCTATCTCCACTTTGACGACTGATTAGTTGCGTGAACCCTAACCGAAACACTGCGACACGATCAACCGCGGGATGCGGCGATCAGGATACGGTACTGTCCACCCACACATGGGGCGAAGTATGCGACTTGAGGGGCTTGCAGCATTGATTAACTGTTCTATGTGGTACATGGACTAGAGTACAGGGAGAGAAGACCAGACGAATCCGTCATGATGATGGCTTCGCAGGTGGACCGCTAGGTGCCACACCCCACTCCGGCAGCCCTTTCGGTCGAGGTATACGCTTCTCAGGATTCCAATCTTCCTCAGGTTTTTCTTGAATATTCTAGCGAGAGCTTTAGAGACATATCCGTCGAAATACAAATTCCAACGCACAAAGTAAGCCTCCCGAAGATCGAACTTCTTCTTGCTCTGTTCTAGTTTCAACTGCTGCTCCTTTGATACCTGGTGTAATGATAGTCTATCAGAGATGCAAGAGCGTAGGTAGACAACTGGGGTAACATGCCGCAGTTATCTTCTTGTCTTGCAAATCGTACCGTGCCTGTGCGAATGGCTGAAGTGCAAACGAGGAGCCGACGATGAGAAGCAAGAATGGTAAACCGAATATGGAGGGGTGCTTCTTCAGCAGCCTGTGTGTCTGTCCATGCTGCCAGGATGTGAAGGGATTCCGCGGAAATGCGGGCATGATGGTTTGAGCTCAAGCAGCTTCGAGCAACGCGCGCGCGCTGCCTTCGCGCCGAGCGTCATCCGCTGATCCGTTGTAACTTGTGGTCCAGTCAGTCCGGTCATAGCGGGCCTTGGGTTCCCTCTTACAATCGCGTTGCAGAACACTACGGAGAATGATAGTTGCATGCCAAGACTGGACTCAAAGCGCGCTCTCATGTGAACGCGATGCGAGAGCTCGAAGTAGCTAGATGCGAGATGCATGTCCGAAGAGGGCCGAGGATGCCGCCGGGGTCGCCCCGCCCCGGATCCCCGCCCTGATTTTCTGCTTCTTACCACCGTCATCGATCTAGTTGTGTGCGCCTCCAGCGTACCGGTCAGAAATGAGCGGTGCGTTCAGGGTGACCTTGTCTACAATATAAACTTACGAGAAATAGGCAAGGCAACCGTTGTCCTCGGCGCCCAGTGGGGTGACGAGGGAAAGGGAAAGCTGGTTGATGTGCTTTCTGCTGATGCGGACATCTGTGCGCGCTGTGCCGGCGGCAACAACGCTGGCCACACCATCGTTGCGCCAGGTCCGGATGGCAAGAAGACTACGTTCGCTTTCCACCTATTACCGAGCGGTACGCTTCAGGCAGTCACTTTGCCAAATAGCGGCTCATCGGGAGATCAGGACTTGTCAACCGATCCACAGCGGGCCTGATTGGCGCCGGCGTTGTTGTTCACATTCCTTCGTTCTTCGAGGAGCTCGATCAACTGGAAGCTCAAGGCATGTTGACTAGATCCCTCAATCCGTGATTTCTGTCCTCATCTGCCAGTCAGGTCTTGACTGCACCGGTCGCTTATTCGTATCTGACCGCGCGCATATCGTCTTCGATTTCCACCAGATTGTCGATGGGCTCAAGGAAGTTGAGTTGGGCGCTAAGAGCATCGGAACGACCAAGCGCGGCATCGGCCCGGCCTACTCGTCGAAAGCTAGCCGCTCCGGCATGCGTATTCACCACTTGTTCGACCAGGAGACCTTCGCGCTAAAGTTCCGCAAGCTCGTCGAGGGACGCTTCAAGCGCTACGGCCACTTCGACTACGACACTGAAGGCGAGATCGAGCGCTACAAGGTATCGTCGGTATAACTCCGGTCGGATGACTCCATCTCAGAACATCTCATCAGGCTCTCGCGGAACGACTGCGTCCGTATGTCGTGGACTCGGTCGTGTACCTGCACAATGCTCTTGCGTCTGGAAAGCGTATTCTGGTCGAGGGCGCGAATGCGCTCATGCTCGACATCGACTACGGCACATATCCTTTCGTCACTTCTTCTAGCACTACCATCGGTGGCGTATGCACCGGTCTTGGTCTTCCTCCTCGCGCTATTGGACGCACGATCGGTGTCATCAAGGCCTACACTACTCGTGTGGGAGGCGGACCTTTCCCGACTGAACAACTGAACGACGTAGGCGTGCACTTGCAAGAGGTCGGGCGCGAATTCGGTGTTACGACTGGCCGTCGTAGGCGTTGTGGCTGGCTGGATCTCGTCGTCATGAAGCACTCTTGTCTGATCAATGGCTATGACTCGCTCAACCTCACCAAGCTGGACATTCTGGACGACCTCGCTGAGATCAAGGTCGCAGTGAAGTATCTCGTAGACGAGAAGGAGCTTCCAGGATTCCCTGGTACGCATCCAAGTTGTCTCGTTGCACCGTGTACGCGAAGCTGATAGGATCTATCAGCTGATCTCGATGTACTTGCGAAAGTCGACGTCGTCTACGTCACTCTCCCTGGCTGGAAGTCTAGTATCGCTGAGATCACGTCGTACGACGCGCTGCCGGATAACTGCAGGAAGTACATCGAGTTCATCGAGAACTTTTTGAACGTGCCTATAGAGTACATCGGTGTTGGTCCCGGGCGTGAAAGCATGATCACCAAGCCGCTCCGCAGCTCATAGAATAGAACTGTAGAACACAACGAGGAACGCGAAAGAAAGACGTATGTAGTAACATCTGAACAAATGTACCGTACAACACTGTAATCAAGATGTATCGTATGCGACTAAGAGTGCCTGCGACGAAGGTGGCGCAAGTGAGTGGAACTCAAAGGTAGAGGTATTGGCATAGACAGTGCACAAGGACAAGATAGATCACGGACAAGATATATACAAAGAAGGCAGGATACGTACAAGTAGAACACAGTGCGGACCGAATCATCACATATGGCACATATATACAACGGGCGATCTCAATTAGCAAGCGGCACCAGGGTACGTGAGAGGGTCCAGAGGGTTGAAGCCCTTCGGTAAGGCCGAGTCGAAGGGAATGGGGATGTCCAGGAAAGGCTCTTGAAACTCGAACTCATCGTACTCCAGCGGAACCGCAGAATCGTAGTTCCCACTGCGAGGGTCGAAGGGAGCATAGTTCGAAGTGTCGCTCGACGGGATACGATGATGCGGAGTACCGAGTGGAAGAAGCTCCTGAGGTGGTGTGGCGGGAAACGGTGTGGTGCGAGTGTGGTCGGACGGTATACCGGGGAACGATGCAAAGTGAGTCATCGCGGGGGAGTTCTGTAAGATAGAGTCAGCTGAAGGAAGTGACATATGCACGAGAAGCGACGCACAGGAGATTGGCCCCGGATAGTCAAGCGCACCGGATGCCACTCTATACCAACTGTCTGCTCGCGGCGGCTCTTGTTGTACCCATCCCTGTAGGGCGACGGGCGGCCACCCCTACGCAGCCCTTGAGTCGTGGAGGCGACGGGTTTAGGGTAGGGATCCGTAGTCGCGCGGCGCAGCGCAATGGACGTGTTGCTACCGCCCGCGATCTTGGGACTAGAGCGGCGCGAGGAGCGACTGAGGGCTTGGTTATCTTGAGGGACGTCGATTTCAGTCAACGCCGCCTTCGACCTCATATCCCTCCCCCGTCCGTAGAAGCTGCGCGACAGAGTCTTCACGGTGTGCAAGGACGAGAGGGGTCTGACGTTGGAGCCTTCCTCGGCCAGACGACGCGGCCCGCCCAGTTGTCCATACGGGTCGGGTGAGGAAGAGCGCGTCGAAGCATTCAAGATGTGTGGAGAGAGGATGCTATGAGATGGCCGAGAGCTGTGAGCGCTGGCTGTTGGGCGTAGGGAACGACTCCTGGGAGGCGGAGGGGTGTCGGGTACTGGAGAGAACATCAAGTAGTCAGCGATCAGGGTGAAAGGAGGGACAATCTAGGACGCAACTCACCATCGTTGGGGGACATGACGAAGGACATACAAGCACAAGGACCACAAACAACAACGAGGAAGTTTATACTACAAGGAAGAAGGGGCGCGTTGAAGGGGAAGGAGGAAGCGGACGGGCGGACGAAAAAGAAAGAGAGAGATGTTAAGATCTTATATCGAGAATGCGCGCCCTGCCACGCTGCAGTACTTCTTCCAGTTGAACGAGCGAAGGCGCGTGTACGGGAGCATGGCGCGGTCGTGAAAGAGCACCTACGGTCATTACCGCAACACGTGTCGGCATGAAAGGACCTGCAATGCAGAGCATCTGAAGGAACGTCCGAGGAAAGAACAAGGCGGAGCTGAGTCCCTCTTCTCATAGCAGACGCGTCGTCGTCGCGTCTCTCCTCGCCACAAGGAAGGAGGGCGCTACCTGGTGGTGGTAGATGCTGGTCAATGTTTCAGACGTGCTTTGATGGCGACGCTCGGGATTTGCCCTGACCTTGAATGAGCTGAGAATATGCAATCTGAGCGCAAACAACATCGCGTGCCGACGCGATGATGCCCGCGATGCCGGTCACCACGCGAGGTTGACTTGTGGACGTTTGTTATCCAGCTGTCCCGCCTACCCAACCGCACATAAAAATATGCCTGGATAGACATTGCGGCTGAAAATGGAAATTCAGCGAGCGTGCGGGTCGCTTTGGCGCCTCACGAAGCGGAGAGTACTGATCATGGGAAAAATACTGGGACCCACAACTCCGCCTCGAGGCGTACACGCCCCTCCGCACGAGGCAGACGCATGTCCGCAGGTATCGTAAACCGCCGATAAACAGCTCAACGAACCGTCATAGTACCCATCCTCCCTGGTGTATTTGCGTTTGCTCATGGTTGACCGGCTTTGTCATTGTTCTCTCAGAGAGGCAAGTGCGAGACATGTCGCACGGAGTAGCGCTAGCCAAAACGGCAAGTTTGAAGCACACGAGGACAGATCTTGCTATCTCATCTTGAGCCCGGGGACAGGAAGAGGGGACGTTCCCCGAACGTATGGCGCGCTCCGACGAGACAAAGGACCCATCTACACGAGATGCGCACGCTCGCGTTTCTCCGAGAGGGGTATGGCATTTCCATCAGAAGTAGCAGGGTACCCGCAGCGTAGGCTCCAGGATCTAGAGAAAGCAAGACAAAGGAAGCAAGGGATCTGCGTCTTCCAGAGCACCTTCCTGTACGGACCAGAATGATGTTGCGAGGAGAGCAGGTGGAGGATTGTATCATGGGTGAAGGTGCCCACAAAGACGACATCCTCGTAGGATCATCCGCGACTGATGGGTCTGATCCAGGTGGGTGTGCATCCTCTGCTCTATCGCGCCGCAACGTCCTCTGTCCTCGGCACATTCAACACGCCCCTCCCGAAGCCCGCCGCGATCGCGCTGAAGCCCGACTCTTTGACCTCAGATAGGAAGAGGTCATGCTGATCGGCGAGTCTTTCATTATTGCGTCGGATGTCGCGGATGACGGCGTGCGACCGCGCGCATTCTGGGCATTCGGTCTCGTTGTTGGCTAGGCATCTGCGAAGGAGCGTATTAGCTTGTGTCGTGTTATTGTAGAGGAGAGATAAAGTAGATGAAAGAGATAAAATCATGATAGCGGAGATGCAGCATCGTGGAAAGACGCCACCGGTTCGATCCTAGCGTCTCCGGCGGCTTCGGAAGTCATGTAATACAACGAAAGGGACGACTTCGAAAAATGGACACGTACCGTTGGTGATAGCTATGATTACACATGAAGTGTATAGCCGGCAGATCCAGATGACCCCCGCACGTCGCGCACTGCGGGTTATGGAACACCCTTGGATGGTCCGCATCGCTGAGCGCTTCGACCTGCTTGAGCTTGGACTGTGTCTCAAGGCGGTATGAGTTGATGAGTTGTTCATCCTGCACGTGGACGTTAGCACAGCGAAGGATGATCTAGATGGGAGATAGGTGCGTACGGTTGAGATCTCCCCCCTTGCCTCGTGGATGCGAGAGAGTAGCCAACTTTTGACAACGCCCACGCTCGTCACTCCATTTCTACTCAACACCTGCACAACGCTGAGAGGCGGCATGATGCCCTCCTCTTCGATTCTCTTGAGCACCACCTCCAAGTCCTTCCTGTGCCTCCCCAGTACCTCCGCACTCTCCGTCAAGAACCTCAACACCAATGGGTAGAGGTACCGCGCTTGCTCCCCGTGACCGTATGATTCGAGACAGCGCATCACTTCGTCTCCGGCGCCTGCCTCGCCCGCTCGATCACGGTCCATCCAGAAGCGCAAGACGTCCTCGTGCATGCCCAGTCGTTCCCAGAGCAACACCAATCCCCTCGTGAACTCCCTCGTCGAGCAGAGTATCAGCGCGTGTGTGGGGTCATAGGGCAACTCTGCGCTCTTGAGCACTTTCAACGCCTTGTCCGTATGTCCTTCGCTCAGGTAAAGCTCGAGCAGTGTGTTCCACACGGCCGCTTGGTCGAGCTTGTCGGCTTCTCCATCCGCAGGCGGAACCTCAGCTTCGACATAATCCGCCGCCGGTGTACCGTCGAGCGTTTGCCCCCATCGTCGGCTCGCGACCGTTTCCAAGAAGTGTACGAATCGCGCGCGCTGGGAGACAAAGTTCGCGAAGTACAGCCGTGGAGATGGGCGCTTGATGTATGTCGGCAACGCCCGGCTCGTCGTTCCGGGCGTCCCAGGCGGACTTGATGCGCGCGAGCTCTCATGTACCGAAGGCCTCTTACTCGTACTCGATCCATCCGTCGCTCTCGGCGTGGGTGTAGTCGGTACCTCGGTCGCGGTGGCCGTAGTCGGCGAGTCGGTGGACGAAGCTGTGCGGTTGAGGTTCAGGTAGGAGAGGTACGAGTTGCCTCCTTTGGGTGGTTGGGAGGCGTTGGGCGAGGAGAGAGATTCGGGTTCGGAAGTTAAGAGGGCGGGGTTCGTACAGATGTCGATCAGGAGTTGGGTCGTTTCGTCCGGTAGGGCTTCGAGCATCTTGCGGCCGTAGCGCGCGAGGCTTGTTTCTGCCTGTGTCCAACAATCAGAATTGATGACGTACTGAGTGATGGGAGGAAGGGAAGGCGTACAGCGTTAGCGCCGAGCATGCGTAGATAGCTCAGAGCGTCCTTGTAGTTCCCCGCATCCTCGATTTGTATCCTCAAGTAGTCTTCATGTCGCTCCCAACGCTTGGCGAGGTAACTGGCATGTTCGAAGTATCCCGCTTGTCGACACACGCGGATCGCGGTATCAAGATCGAACGGCAGTTCGTCCTTGTCGTCACCTCTCCTGCTCTCGGTCTTGATGAAGCTGTCCAGGCGCGCGACGTCCTTGAGCTTGGTGTAGGTGTTGAGGAGAAGGGTTGTGTGGTCGGCGTTTGCGAGCCCTAGAGCGTGAACTTCTTGTAGGTACGTTACGAGGTTGTGAATCCGTTGTGCGTCGAGGAACTACGTCTAGTATTAGCCACCGATCGCAGATGAAGATAATCTTATAGCCTACCTTTCTAATAACATAGCTAGGCTGAACCTGGCCGATTGTCTGCAGGTACTGCTGCATCGCGCCGTCGTAATCGCCGCGTCCGTAGAGGTAGTCCCCGTATTGTCGGTGGATATCGGCCACACTGGTTTCGTCGAGGTTCTGTGTCTTCGCGATACTGAGCGCAAGTGTGTGCTGTTGACGTTGGTATAGCATTCCGAGCTTCTCCGGCGTAGGCTTCTCTTGCAAGCAAAACAACTGTCCACGCGCGATAAGCAAACCTGAACAACACAACCACGACGAAATGTAGACTCACAACTCCGTCGTTTGTGAGCACATACAAGTTGCCCCACTGCGACAACACTGACCGCACACCACTCGTAAACGTATCCGAAAACGCGACCATCTTGTTCTCCGGATCGAACACCGTCACTTTCCCCACATCGCCTTTATCCGCCTCCTTCGCTCTTGCCGCGAACCGGATGGTAGGGCTCGCGCTTGCTGCGCTAGGTGCGAGAGGCGGGGAGACGATGACGAGATAATTGCGGTGGGAGTGTATTGAGAGTTTGGGTCCTTCGACCGCGTACGATGCCCCACGGCCTTCGACGGCGCTAACGTAGATCGCTTCGTCACGGGCTACAAAGAGGTTGCGTGCATGCCAGTCCATGACTGTGCATCCCAGCGCCGCGCCATGTTCATGCACCTCGACCGGCGTCCCTCCGCTGCCTCGTCCGCTGGCCTGGTACGACAACACGCGGTTGGTTGTTGCAATAAACAAGTATAAGTTCGGACTTTCGGCGCTCGGCTCGCGGAACCCGAGACCGGTGACAGGCTCAGAGGTCGATTCATGTACGACACGCGGTTTAGGAAGCGCAGAGAGCGAAGTCGATGAGCTGAAGACGGATTGGTCGAGATGCCTGTACAGCAGCACCGTGCCGTCTCCGAGTCCCACGGCAAGAGTGCTCAGACCCGAGGCGAGTGCGGCGCATGAGACAGGGTGACGCCGGGAGGAATGTTGTACTTTCGTCGAGCGCAGGAGGATCGGAAACCCATTCTTGTCCGTCTTTTCAAGCGACCAGATCTTGAGCAGCGGGTATTGTACGGAGTCCTCTTCCTGAGATGTGCTGGGTCAAAATATGAGGGATATATTATTCGTGAGGAGGGAACTTACGCCAAGCGTAACTAATACTCCGCGGCTCTCCTCCATATGCGTCACTCTCCCTCCCACATGGGCAACCCAGCTTAAGACAGGCTCAAAGTCCTTGTCCAACAAATGTACACTCCCATGAATATCCGCAACGAGTGCGCCTACAGACGAAGATGTAGTCGTGGAGATCTCGACTGCATTCTACTAGATAGTCAGTCATAAGTATGTGTATACGTTGCAGATATAGAGCGTTGTACCTTGACTATGTGTGGGCTCTCAGACAGGTCGTGCGCGTCCTTTATGGGCGATTGGTTGAAGAAGTTGAACTGTTTAAACTGGTCGCGTATGAATTACAGAGTCCCAGACTCAATCGAGGAGTAGCATACCCTCGGTGCGGAAGCCGCAGCTGCCATATTGAATGATGTATATACCTACACCGAGCTAACCAGGAGTTGGTGTCGTGCGAGAAGGGTAAAGCTAGCCTGTAGACCGCCGGCGCCTCGAGGCTGTGGCGAGGGATGGTGGTTAGACGAGAGCAACGTTCCGACGCGTTCGCGGGGCCGGCGCGGAACCGTCGGCCGCTTGACGCGATCATGCGCGTCGTACGCGTCGCGAGCCTTTCTTCTGACCATCATGAGCAACCGAGTTCTGTCGGGTCTAATACGTGGGACGCGCTCAGCGTACGATACCATTGCTCGTGCTTTGGCTCTGTAGTCCCATCTGGCAGATATACCTGGTGTGGGCCGTGTGGCCCTCGCTTCTGACCGTCAGTGGTAGCGAGCAAACCGAGTATTTCAGCGAGTGCCTCAAAGCGATTCTTCTGCGCATGTCTGCCTAATTTCATCGTGGATACTCACTGCGAGCGCTCTAGTGACACCGCCGCTATTCTCGGGCTCCTACAACCCTTTCATGGCCCTCCGCCCTCCAAGATGGCCTTCAAGAAGGAACGGTCCGAGCCTCAACACGATGGTTCAGACTCCTCAATTCGCTACTCTGACAACTCTCGGACAGGGTGTCTTAGGCGATACAATATTAAGAATGCATCTCAGGCGCAAATATTTCCTTCGTCATGACTACAATACATCGTCGTAGAAGAGTCACTGTCAAAAGGCTATATGCCTTCAGTTAACACACACGAGGACGCCGCAGCTGTTGGTCTGGCAAGCTAGAGGGTACCGGTGAGTTTCGACATGCTCTCCTTCGCGTGAAGAACTCAAACTTACTGCCTTCATTGCCGCCGCTCCAGGCGCAGTCATGGCCGACGCCGTACTGGTTATCGCCATTGCAAGCATCGACTATTGACGAACACGCATCAGCATGAACCAGGTATGAAGAGAGCGGGAGGATGCGCACCTGGGTTGTCGGCGAGGGCAGCAGCACGACGCTCGGGCACAGCGGCGCTGACGCCACCGACCATTACGACGAGAGCGAGAGTGGTAGCGAAGAGGGTGTTCGAGAGCTTGAAGAGCATGGTGATTGTTTTAAGCGTATTGGTTAGGTGTAAGAGTGGGAGTGCGAATGCGTTGGAGGGAACCTGGAGAGTAAGTCTTGCTCTTCGTCTGGCTTATATACTGTCCAAGCTGAGCCGACATCTCAGACTTCGAGTTTCAGCGCTCAGCACTCAGCATGACCGCTACGCCCAAGTCATCAGAGTCTCATCGACCGTGAACCGAAGATCGAACCCTCTGACGTCGGCATGGCCCGACCGGGCCTACTCCAGCTCTTTGCAATATCCGGTGTCTCCGGTGTCCGTATGACCTTCATCATGCAACCCAACGCAAGCGATCTAAGTACAGCTTTGGGACGCGCAGTGCTGTTGGGGCTTCGTTGTAGGAATGCGATGGCTTGTCTTCAACCGCTATGAACGTGGTTCTCCAACTACTAACTTATCATCCGTGGCAGTGCGTCGTAGTCTGGGGTTGAACTTCCCGGGAGAATGCATAGGTGAGGAGCGCGTGCACATATACGTATCCTGCTCAAATCCGCTGACGAACGCTTCCACAGTAAAAAGGCGATATCAACAGCTACAAGAAAGTGCTCATGGGAGGTTGTAGACTCAGTGCACGACGGAAGAGGAACGGAAGACGAGCGCGTCTTGTACGATCACAGCGAATACCTCGAACACTACAGGACCAGCGCATGCTCGTGGAGTATACTTCATCGCCGTCGTCAACTGACACAACAAGTGCGATGTCTTGGCCTGACGCACGTTCATGTACATCCTGTTATTTGTATGCGCAGATACAGAAATAACACGACATGACAAGACTTTGCTCCATGCTTGGCAGCCCCATGAGGCATTTTGCTGTCGCGCCCGAGATGCGCCGGCTGTAGTGATCAAGCAGCAGGTCTGCAGTTCATATGAACTGCGTTCTGGCTATTCAACGATACATCAAGCCACCCCGTTTCACCGATGCCAGCCATACCAACAGCTGTCAGAGCTGAAGTCATCGGTTGTCTTCTGCTGTTCCGACAAACCTTCCGAGCCGCTGACCTGCTGTCCGTACAGGAGCAGCCCCATCATATGGGATACCCGGAGAATATAAGAGCTCGAGACGCTTTCACCCTCTAAGTCAAGCATCCAAGTGCCTCGAAGACTTCACTCAAACAAACACAATCCCCTCTTCCTTAGCTCCAACCCAACATGATGTTCAAGCTCTCCTTCACCACTGTTATCTTCGCCGTCGCGACGCTGTTCGCCACTGCCAATGCCCTCGCGGACAACGATGGCACGTCTTCGAATGTGACCTAGTACGCCTCGACGTGAAGCTCATCTGACACGCAGTGGACGCCTGCAACGGCTCGAACGACTACGGCGTTGGCCACGACTGCGCCTTCTCTGGTGGCAGCGGCACCGTCGAAGGCAGTGAGTAGTCCTCCTAATCTCCTCTCTCCTGCTCTCTCTGATGAAATCTTCACTACAGCGTGCCAGAACAACGCTTGCGGCAACCTCATCTGCAAGCCGAACTGAGCGGCATCGCGAGTCCTCTCAAGTGAGGCTCTGGCAAAGCCAGGCATGATATACCTGGCCCGCCTCTTCTTTGTACTCGGCTAAGATTTTGTGTCATGATAAACCAGAATATACTCTCTTCATGTTGCTGGACATCTATTCTGCCCAGCATTGTACATGTATGAAACTTGACTGTATAATCGTCGTCCGCGTCTATCTTCAGATGACAGTTGCGGCATCCGGCTGTAGTGATTTTGTGTGAGTAAGCTGTGTCATTCAGTACTCTACAAAGGTTAAGAGAGCTGGGGCTTCCGACGACGCACGTGCTCGCCTCGGGTCAGTTTCGGGGATCCTTCTCGCACCCGAACCCGCGGTACTGGCCCTCTCTACAGTAAATACAGAATATGAGAGCTGAATGGTCTTCCTGGGGAGCTGAAAATACGCTGTCTAGTCACGGCAGTGAGCGCACTATGACCAGTGGTCCGCGCGGCGAAGATGAAGGGTTTTTGCCGTGACAGACGCGAACAATCACGGCCGTGACCGTGTGTGTCAGGGCCGATCTCGAAGGTTGTCCATGTTGGCGACTTGCTTTGCTCCACCATGTCGACTTTCGTTATATATCACCTGGGTTAGCACAGACTTGATCTTAAGGCCTCCTATGCTATGGGTCACTTGGCTGGTAAACGCTGGATGCGTCCATCCGGATGGCGGTCGTTCGCACATTCTGTGCTATGATGGTGTTGCACATGGAAGCGCAGCGGCAGGATCAATGACGAGTCAGGTCACCCTGCGTTCCCGGTCACGCCCGGAGACTCTCGCACAAAGCAAGAAACTGGAGCTCTCAAAGCGGAGTGTTTGCTCATTAGTATCGCCGACACCAGCCGATCGATGATCCAACCTCGACTCTGCCGACCACACCACCGTATCCCCCAAAAGCCACAAACTGAAGCGATCTACTCCTCAATCGTCTCAGTACCACAAGTACTTGAGTGTTTGTAGACTTTCAGCAAGTCGACCACTAACGTAACCCGTGTGGTGGGCATCATGACTTCCTGTAAGTCCATCATCACGTTCAGGTCCGCGAGCGAGTGAGCGTCCTCCGGCATGCAGCGCGCTTCACCAAGCGTACTGACATTGATTCTCCGGTGCAGTTACTTCAATCCACATACTCGCATGGAGATTTTACCGTCATTTTGTATATCATGACGAGTACTTCTGACATCACGTGGACGATCTACTATGCGGGAACTGGGGAAGCAACGTCTGTGTTAACCGACCCTCGGTCACCAGAGCGACAAGGGGACAAGGAACGTCAGCGACGTACATGTCTTCCCGCCACTCGCAGATTTACCCGCACTGGTGCTATGGTGCAATAAAGGTTCCGCGGGCCGTTAAGGCAAGGGACAGCCACAAACATTTCCAGCAATAGAATCGCTCGGATGGCTCACGGCACAGCACGGCACCCGGTCAAGATTCGACTCTCCCACCTGGTGGTCCGGCGCCTCCGCCATCAAGACCTCCACGCGAGTCTCTTGCTCGAGCCTGCTCTCGTCTTCGTCTCATCCGAACGTCCGACCCTCAGTCGGAGTGAACTATAGTGCCGAAGACTCTATCTGCGACCCTCTCTTTGGCACCTATGTCTAGTATAAGCCACACAAGGGGGCTCGAAAATATCCGGTAGATGTAATGCCGGACCTCTGTGATGGCCCTTGGACATTTCACTCTGTGGACCAAGGTCCACGAATGCGTTACCAGCAGTCATCGATATTTTGTGCCTACTCAATAGCGCATGACCTAGAGTGCACTGCGGTCAAGGGCCATGCGAGTGAAAATGTGTTACTGTGTGCCACACATCTCCCCGATCGACCGAACGTCCGAGTAACCCTGTTTACCTGACCTTGCTTACCCTGCGCGAGACACGTATAAAGGCCACCATGTTTTACTTCATTTCATCAAGCGCTCTTCATCCCTCGGGTTCAGCACTTGCACTTCTACGCACTTCGTAGCCTCTCCTTGTTACACTACCCTTCTCAAGATGTTCAAGCCCCTCGCCCTCGCTGCTGCCGTTGTTACGGCCGTCTCTGCCGCAGTCGTTCCTCGCGCGACCGTGGCGACTACTATTGGCGCTGTCCAGACTGGCGGCTAGTGAGTCTTTGCGATGCTCTCGTCGTATATCGATCTAATAGTTGAATAGCGCCACCTACTACTACCAGTACGGCGGCTACGGCGCTTGCGGCAGCATCAACCCCGACAGCGCGATCATCGTAGCTCTTCGTGCGTCCTTCTACATGTCCACTATTTCCAGTCATTTCCCTAACATCATTCCTGCAGAGTCCCAGCGCTACGACTCTTCGCTCTGCGGTCAGACCGTGTCCATCACGAACTCGAACAATGGCATCACTATCCAAGCCACCATTGCCGACAATTGCCCCGGGTGCGGCGGTAACGCCAACTCGCTCGACCTCTCGGTCGGCGCGTGGACCGCCATCGGCCGGTCTGAGGCGGACGGCTCGCAGGTGCCCATCACCTGGACCCTCATCAACTGAGGAAGTCAACGCGCACGGGTGAAGGAGAACACGATCTTCCCGTCGCGTTCACAGTCTTCCTCGTAACTCTTATTCTGCGTAAGTATTGGGTAGACGGTGTTCCTCTGGTGTCCAGTGTTTGTTCTTCCTTGGTACCCATGTCTTTCGTTCTTGACTGCTCAATGTTGTTACCGTCATCCTGTACTTGCATGTTTACCATGTACGCAACTCAAACCAGTCCTTGATCAGCCTAAGATGCTCGACGAAGATAGACGTCTATCGTCACGCGCTATGGACATGCGAACATGCATGCGCTCGCTCGCTCGTTTCAGATCAAGCAGAGCAACAGTGTTGCATGCGCAACACGTTTCATCCGCGAATGTACGCTTAATTCACATCATCATCGAAGACCCCCGACTCCCAGCGGTGCACCCTGGCCTTCTGCCAGCTGACGATGTCGTGTACACATGCCTTGTGATCATCTACGTCCCGCAAAGACTCGACGGGGTATGTCAGACCAAGTTCAAGGACGTAACCTGGATACATCGCACGTACTGCGTCAGTGTGCGTGCAAGAGACAGGAACAGCTGGGGCGTACACATCGCGGTCTTCAGGGAGTCAGGCGCGGACTCATATGCTGATGCAAGTTCACCGCGTGAAGGGGGTTTCGCAGGTAGGCCCTCGTTGTGGCGAAGCCATGCGGAGTAGGTGCATACTATGTCCCTCAGTGACTAAGAGCATGAATTCTTAAGTCGAAAAAGTACCTATAGAGTGCTGAACAGTGGGTGAGATAGCATCGAATACTTGTTCGAAATCAGTCAAAGCTAGTACATCTTCGTGACATCCGGCTTCCATCCTACGATGGTACTCCAAAGCACGGTAAACGGCATCTGATTGTATGAGTGCTGGGGAGTCCCACTGAAGCTGCCAGTCTATACTTCGGTTCTCAAAAGCCAGGGTTATCATACTGGTTGGGCCACAGACCAATGGCTAGCTTTAGACCTTCCGGAGCGACGCTGTAGGTCTTCCCAACGTCTTTCCCGAGAACGGCCTGGCCTTCGTACGCCCAGTCTTCTTTCCATGTACTCATGGTCTGCACTAAGGGATCGGTAAACTAAGATGCAACGAGATGTGGAAAGGAGACGCAGCCACATACATATAGAATATTGAACAATCTCGCGTACGTTCTCGTATGCACGTTGGAAGGCCGACACACGATCGGCAACCTCACCAGTCGCTGAGAGGCGTGTCGATCGGTTCATAGTAGCTAGTATGCGCCTATGCGCACAAGAGTCTATGCGGGGCGTTCACGATAGGCGCAAGAGATGCTGTATCTGTATCCGTCATCGGGTTGGAAGGCAAGCGCCAGTCGCGTTGAATCGCGCCCGCGCTCTCGGCCACCTCGGGCCGAGCCCCACAAGGCGCGTAGACGTTCCGACGCAAGTCATCCGCAACGTCCATCACCTACTGGCGAAACATAATGAAATAAGACTCCTACGCCATCCTTTCGTCTTCATGAGAACTCCGATGCGACTTTCTCGCTCGGTCATCTTGTCGGTATCACCTTCAACGGGCACAAAGAACTACGCGCGCGAGCGAGCACATAGCGCCGTGCGGTATACTGTGCGGGGTGGTCAGGAATTGGTAACTCCCGGACCTCTCGGGCTGCACGTACACTTTATCCTGAGCGCAAGTACTCTGAACGATTCTACAGGCTCTTTTGCCAGTCTCCCGCCACCATGCGCCCGGTTTCGCGCTTTGCATCTGCGGCCAGCACCTCTTGACCGGAGCACTGACCTCTTGCGGACAACCCCGGTCGCTTCCACTATCCATTACTCTCAAATCGCTCTTCTCGGCGTCACCGAGCAACAGGGTTCTTTTGGACAGCTATGAGAACAGGCGCATGACTACTCGCTCCCATGCCCTTGTTCTGGGGGATGGTCCATGTCCCCGTCTTGGAAGCCCTTGTTATTGCGAGTCGTCCGGGCTCATTGAAAACACTCCAGGCCTCAAAGTGAGGGTGCCTATCCTCTCTTCTTCTTGCGCCCATCGGGACCACTCGATATCGTCCGAGTTACCTTGAAGACATCCGACCAAGTGTAGGCTCACCGAGGCGCAGGTACGTCACGTCCATGCCCTTGACGAGTGCACGGTACTCAATTGAACATAGGACGGCTCGAGAATTACTTTGCAAGCACCATACATCAGCCACAATAACTACCTCACCGCCATGCCCACTATACCCGCCGAGCGCGATAGTGTCTACGCCGTTGTGTGAGTCGGGATCTTCTGCTACCCTCGCACATATTGAGAACTGGTCAGCCTATGTTATGGACAAGGGGATGCCGCTCGACAGGCACTGCGCTCTGATCCTCGGCTCACGGTTGGGTCAGACCGAGGGGAGGCTGTCATGGTTGGTCGCGGTTTCATGTGTTGTTCTACCCCCCTGGCTCAGTGTTATCGAAACAGCCTTCTCCGCCCCGACAGCGTCTCACTGTTCTCCCTGATTCCCCTCCGAGAGCAAGGCTGGATACAGATACACCTTTGTTCATCCACGCGGATACAGAGCGCGATTTGGACGACAGTATCGGCGTACGGGAAGCACAGGAGAGGGCAGGATCTGCGAGCACAACGCCCCCTATACTTCCTGGTGGCACTGCGACTCCGGTTGGTGGGCCTTTTTCTGTTGAACAACTTCCGGCGCTGAACATTCCTTCGCACGCTAGGACGTTGCATACCAAGGCCTTCCCCCAATCGGCGCCGGACCTGCAAACCAGCGGCTCGATTTCACGCCGCCCGTCGCGGCGCCAGCAGCCCCATTTCCACAGAGCGGGGAAATACACCCTCTAGACGTATCACGGGAGGGCGAGCAAGAAGGAAGTGAAGAGGAGGGAGGGACCGAAGCTGGCGATGCAGGCGATGATCTCTCCTCGTTAGGGCTTAGTGCAGGCGAAGACGCTGTTGATCCGGAGGATCTGCCGGTGAGTGATCTCACGCCGCTGTCATCACTCAGGCGACTGAGACTGTTGCAGGCTGCTTTGTTTGTACTTCACGACGCTACCTACCTCATACGACAGAACGAACTTACGAACCACCCGAGTCGTCCGGTCGTGGTGAGGGCGTTGCACGATGCTTTGATCGAGTACATGCCTCAGCACGGCTTGTTGCTTCGTTCTCAACCGCCATTGGCTGTACCAGGTCAAGAAGTGGCCCCAGCATATGGTGCATCAAATGCGGACCGCCCAGGAGCGGACGCGGAAGTTCACGCCAATCACCAATCTGGCCCGGTCACTCTTCAAAACTCGGGCACCGTTCAGTCAACTATACATAGTGACACGCGGCCCGACGCGCGTCGTAGTGGCGACTCGGGAACTCAGCGCTTTTTGAACAACGAGGGACGATCCGCCAATACGATTCATGCCCCCGCTCCCGCCGGCGCGCCTGGCGCACACCCGTTAACTTCGTCGGAGATTATCGCGCGTGCGGACGAACTAGAGAGAGCACAACCAACCACCCGTCAAACACTCGACGTCGGAACTGGTGTGCCGACTGAGGCAAGGCCCGATGAAGGTCAGACAGGCGGAAGTGTGGATCTCAGAGGCGGCGAGCCCAGTGCGGGTGGAGCCGGGTTTCAACCTGGTACCCAAGCTAGTGCAGACGCTCTATCCTGGATCTATGACCGATTTTCACTTCAAGATCAAGGACGGAACGTGGACGATGCTCTGATACAAGGTACGGGCCTGTGGCTTTCAAGTGTGATGCACCACTCATTCCGAATTTCAGCTGTGTACCGATTGAAGGCGCTTGAAATGAAGCAAACTACCCGGCTATCGTCTCGTCACAATCCTGACGGTCCAGACGTTGCCTCAGGCTCTGCACAGCGTACGAGCGAGAAGAGGACGCGGGGCCGGACGATGCTTCGTGACATCCTGGGTTCGATGAAGTGGAGGCCGATCGGGAAACGGCAAGTGGCCGAGGATCAGATTGGGCACTCTAGTTCGCGTGGCCTATCAATCAAACAATAGTTCATGAGAGCCCTGGCTATCCTACAACACATGTACGACGACGGCTATGATGTACAACTATGTACTTACGATACTAACGATACTGTTTGCGGTATATGGCATGTCGGGTAATCTGATTTGAGGAATGGAACGTTGCTGCTCTTGCACCGAAAAGCTCTCTTATCTCTGCAGGTTCACCACAGCCCCACATTCTTACCTCGTATATTCCAGCGCTTCGCCTCAATCCTTTGTTCATCAACGACCTCCTGTACGTCTGCTACGAAACTGTCAACATCCTGAGGACGTTGGAGGGGTGTATCGAGTGCCATTTCCACTACGAAACCTGCAGACGAGGTCAGCCCAGTGCACTACAAAGCAACGATTGCCTATTAAACTACAACGTACAGAGTACAGCCTGCAAGGGCCGAGGGGCGGACATATACGCGGGTATGAGTTCACGGCGCTGAGGAGAGTCGATCACAACATGTTCGTGAAACCATTTCCAGGTGGAAAACGTGTGCACTGTGATTATCATATCAGCATAGGTGAATCATGCCGGGTCATAGAACGACGTACAGACAGCGCGCTGTACCTCCGGGGAAGCAGCCTCGAACTCTTGCTCGAACTTTTTCGGCGCCAAGACTTCCTCGTATGTTCCAGCTTCCTTCCGACGAACATGCTCATGCCAACGACGGGCGTTGTCATTCTGCATGATCATAGGTATGTCCCATTTGACCTGCCAGTCTGTAACAGCCATATTCAGCCTTGAGACAAGGGATGATTCGAGTCGGAAACACACCAACGGCTAGTTTCAGGTCTTCAGGCGCTAGGCTGTATGATCGTTGAACATCCGCCCTCATCACATCCTTGCCTCTCAAGGCCCAGTCCCCGCGCCACTCTTTGAACGTCTTCACTAGCGCATCGTCAACAGGGATTCCATCATTAAGGTTACATGTACTCACGAATAGTCCACCTCACAAGTTCGCGTGCGTTCTCGAAGGCCAGCTGGAATGCCCAGGCGCAATGATCTACATCGCCCTGAAGCGGTGGAGGGAAGGAGACCCAGTCTCGCGAGTACGGCGGCGGAAGCTGAGAGACTTGAGGCATAACGGATAACGATGGGGGACGGGTAGATGAAGTGACTAGCACCACGGACGAGGAAGGAGCAAAAACCCGTTGGCTGACTGGGACAGACGATGGCGATCATACTTGACTTGTCCGAGACAAAAAGAGCTTGGGCGAGGATTTTGTAGACAATTAGGCCCCAGGATCAGCGAATGCAGAGGTCACATCATGGTAGGCGTCTCATGGCCCACAACTTTCGACTTGAAAGTCGGCCTTAACAATTGCGTGTGAAGTCGGAGGACTGGAATATTGACGACGTGTAAGACTTCGGACGTGCAGTTACTGTGCAGCATGCCATGCTCCGAAAGTTGAGTGTGACTGGACACTCGTGTCGTCGGACAGGAGTAGATGATATGTATCGAGAGGGCGAGAACTTGATGGTGGTCGGTAGCAACTTGAACTCGCGCCGCGGACAAGGTGTGCGACGCCCAGATGATTACCCAAGTTCTCGGCAACTTGAATACACAAAAAACTACTGCTAAGTGTATCTGGGCATCAAAGTTTCGTATGCGAGAAGGATGAGGGATGCTGGCGTAACTCGCCAAAAACGCCAAAGATGACTCGACCGGGGCTCGAACCAGTGACCTTCTGTGCCACAGCCGTAGCCGGCCTGATCAACAACCGTGCGAAATATTATACGCCACATCCAGCTCACTCGTGTACCTTGCGTAGCTCCTCCATGAGCCATGCTCAATTGCACCAATCATCAACACCCTTCCAAATCCCAACTGTGGGATCTCGTGGTATTATCCTGTCCCGCCTGCACCGCTGGGCTCGCTCTCCCGAACCCTACCCAAGCTCGCTCTTTCCCGCTCCGTCATGCACCGTCATGCTCAATCAACGAACTATATACGCCTCACTGCCTCGGCGTCACCAAGCAACAGGGTCCCTTCAGGCGGCTATGAGAACAGGCGCCTGGCTACTCGCTCCCATGTTCTTGTTCTAGAGGACGGCTCCATGTTCCCGTCTCGGAAGCCCTTGTTCTTGCAAGTTGGCCGGGTTCGTTGATAACGCACAGGGTCTTGAAATGAGAGTCCCAACCTCTCTTCCCATCGCCCCCACTGCGACACTTGATATTCCCTGACCCACCTTGAAGGCGTCCGACCAACTATAAGTCTACCGAGGCGCAGGCATGTCATTTTCATGCCTTGACGAATGCATGTACTCAACCGGACACAGGACGGCTCGAACATAACTTCGCAAGAACTTGACACCACAGAGTGATTGCACCACCGCCATGCCCGTTATGCCCCCAGAGCGCGATAGCGTGTACGCCGTCGTGTGGGTTAGGATCTTCTGTTGCCGTTGCACATACTGAGGATTGATCTAGCCTGTGTTATGGTCAAGGGGATGCTGCCAGGCAGGCAATGCGCTCTGATCCCTGGCTCACGATTGGACCAACACACGGACACACCGCAATGGTAGGTCGGATCTGGATGCGTTCCCCTGCCATCTCGCTCATTGTCAGCGGAACAGCCTTCTCCGCCTCGACCACGCCACCTCGTTCTGCCCGATCCCTCTCCGAGAATAGAGCCGAATACAGCCACGCCCCCCTTCACCTATGCAGGCATAGGGCACGATCTGGATGAAGATCCTCCCACGATTGGTGTCGGACCCGTAGATCAGCAGCTCGCGTTCACGCCGGCCGTCGCGCCGCCAGCCGTGCCATTTCCGCAGAGCGGAAACCTACCCGTTCCAGACGTATCAGGGGAACAGGATCAGCCAGGATCAGATGGGGAGGATGGAGCGGAAGTGGATGACGTGGACGATGACCTCTCCTCGTTAGGGCTCGGTGCAGGCGAAGAGGTTGTTGACCCAGAGACTCTACCAGTGTGTGCCCTCTCGTTATGGACATCTCTCATCACTTGACTGAAATAACCACAGGCCGCTTTGCTTGTGATCCACGAAGCTATATACCTCATACGACAGAACGAGCTCACGAACCACCCAAGTCGGACACCTCTCGTGAGGGCACTGCACGACGCTTTGGCCGAGTACATGCCGCAACACGGGATGCCAGCCCACGCGCAGCCCCTCGTAGCTGCAGCAGCTCAAGAGGAGGCCCCAGGTTATGGGCCTGCAGCAAATGATGATGACCCTCAAGACATGGACGGGGAGGCTCATGCAGATCATCAGGATGACCAGCATGTCGGGCATGAGATGAACGACAACGAAGCCGGCCACCCCAATGCCCAGCCTGCGCCAGATGCCGAGCACGGCGCACTACCACCTTTTGTACCTGCGATTGCCGCACCGAGGGTCTCGGTAGCGGTCGGTGGGGTCGAAAACGTCGTCCTCGGGCCTCACCTCGCCCATGAAGCCGGACCGAACGCCGACGCCACACCGCTGCCAGTCGGCGGGCCTTCGGACTCAAGCAGTGCAGGTCCCAGTCGGGTTCGCAGCCCCGACCCCAGTGCCGTTCCCCTTGCAGAGGAAATCGGTCGCGTCCTACAGACTGAGCCTGGCGCGGCTGCCTTTGCTTGGATCTGCGAGAGGTTCTGTCTCCAGGGACAAGAGCGCAAGGTGGACAATGCGTTGATCAGGGGTGAGCATTCAAATAGTCCTCAAGAGTGTTGTTTGTGTACTGACTCGTATCACAGCTATGGACCGGCTGAAGAGACTTGAGAGGCAAGGACCTCAAGCGTATCTATCACCCAGTGAACTCGATCCCGCGCCGATCCCAGGCCCGAGTCGCAGCACGCATGCGAAAACAACTCGTAGCCACAAACTCCTCCGTACTTTCATAGACACGGTAAAATGGAAGACAACCGGAAGAAGTCGCGACTCCGATCCTCTGCGGAGTACACCGGCAACAGTCAAGCACTAGTCTTCCGCGATTTTCACGCTTTTCACGGCGCACATAATGATGCTCTTGGGTACTGGCCCACGGGTCGACTCGATACATTAATGATTCATGACTGAGATGATACAGTGTTTACGGTATATGATACACACAATGACATATGGTAGTCCGTTCTCCGAATGCTGATGGGCTATACACCTACCAGAGTCCTGCACCCTTACCGCTTTGATTCCAGCGCTTGGAGTGGGCTCGCTGTTCTTCGACCATTCTGTTAATGTCCTCTTCCCATTCGATCACCTGCCGAGTGTCCTGCAGACACCAGTCGATGGCCATTTCCAACACGAAACCTGGAGAGTTATGAGAGCCGTCGTCAAAGGAAAATTTCTTAGGGAAAGACGCACAGACTACTCGTTTCAGTGGGCGAGAAGCCGCCTTGTACGATGATACGACGTCATGTCTATATGGCGCACCTATGACGGCCTGTTCATGAAACCATTTCCACGCGGAGAACGTGTCCACTGCAAGGAATGCCTGAGCATGGGAGCACTGACAGCCATATCGCGGGCAAAACGTACGGGCCGCGTGCTGGACCTCCGGTAATGCCGCGTCAAACTCCCTCTCGAACTTCTCAGGGCTTAGCACCTCTTCGTACGTCCCCGCTTCCTTTCGCCGAACATGTTCATGCCATCGTCGACCATCGGCTGTGCGCAGGATGATGGGTATGTCCCACTTCAGTTGCCAATCTTGAGATTATATTCAGAGAAAACCATAGACCAAACATAGACCAAACACGCACCGACCGCCAGCTTCAATTCTTCGGGCGCTTGGCTGTATGCTTGTTGTACATTCCCTCTCGCCACATCCCTACCTTTGAGCTTCCATTCCTGTTGCCAATCCTTGAAAGTCATCACTGGTTGGTAGTCAGCTCTTGAGCATGGGCTCAGATGCAGACTGAATCACATACAGACCGTCCACCGGACAAGCTCGCGCGCGTTCTCGAAGGCGAGCTGAAATGCCCATGCGCGATGGTCTACATCGCCCTGCAATGGCGGAGGGAAGGAGACCCAGTCTCTTGAGTAAGGTGGAGGGAGTTGGGAGACTTGAGGCATGACAGATGACGATGAGGGATAGAGTGACGGAGTGACCAGCACTACGGACGAAAGAGCAAGAGAGCGTTAGGGGACCGGGTCAGCCGATGGCGACCGTACTTGAATCGTTCAAGACAAAAAGGACTTCAACGAGATCGCATACAATTAGACCGCAGGGTCAGCGAATGCACAGGTTAACATCAAGGCAAGCATCCCATGGCCCCATCTATGACTTGCAAGTCGACCGTGACAATAGGGTGTGAAGTCGATGGACTGGGGTCCGTATTGACGACGCGCAAGACCTCGGGCGTCTAGTTGCTATAGCGAAAATGGCAAAAGACGCTAGCGAGTGAGAGGTGATGGTACGTGATCACGACGTCGGTGGTCAAAGGCATCATCGAGTAGAGGATCGCAAACTATGGAAGGCCACTCGCCCAAGGAAGTGTAGCCAGACCCCATGACGGTTGAAAGTAACATTCCGCGCTGCGTCTGGATTTTCGTCTGGAAACTCAGCTTGAAGGAGGAGACTTCGTGCAGACATGATAGACTCCTATCCAAATCGTACATGCTGTAGAGCCGCTAAAGATCCTGATATCGATCACACGGGAGGAAGTACTGAAGGTATCTGTATGAGTAAAAAGCTGTGCCTTGCTTTCAGGAATGATTCGACCCAGGCTCGAACTGGGGACCTTCTGTGTGTTAGACAGATGCGATAACCAACTACGCCATCGAACCGTTCATTGATGCCCTATTTTGACATATATATCCTGCTACATCACAATACTCTTGCGCTACATCCCTCCCTCCCGAATCACTCATCTTCATTCTGCCCAGCTCCTGCATGAGCTGCATGAAATCGCACACTCCCATCTCCCTTACTCCCTTACTCCCCAACTCCGCGCTCCCCACCCTATGCACAAAACGCTCCCCAAGCTCACCCGCACGCTCCCCACCCTCGCGCTCCCCTCCCTAGCCCTCACAATGAACCTGCGCCACGCGACGCTCTGGGACGACACCGGCACGCTCCTGATCCCCTTCCCCGACACCGCCTTCCGCATCCACCGCCCCGTCCTCCTCGGCGCCGCACCGCATCTCCAATCGCGCTTGACCCCAGCCTCATCCGGATCGCTCCCGCCGGATAGTGCGCTCGCGGATCTGGAAGGGCAGGGGAGTGAGAAGCTGGACGTGTTGGATGTGCCCGAGAATATTGCTGCAACGGATTTTGCGATCTTGCTCGACTACCTTTCCGGAAGGACGTAGGTCATACACCCCTCCCTCCGTCACTTTCCGGCCAACCATACTCATCGATTCGACAATCTGCACAGACCGCTCACCGCATCGCACCTCGAACCGCTCCTGCGCATATCCTCTCCAGAAACCCTCGATATACCGTCCGTGTACGCTAAAGCGTCTGCTCATCTGAACGAGATGTTCCCGAGCCATCTGGGCGCTATAGCCGGTGCGAACGCTGGTGTGGATGCGCATGAGCTCGAGCCTGCGCTTGAGCTCGCGATGCGGTATAAGGTCGATCCCGAGGTACGTTCACATCCACATCTTCCTCTCTACTCGAACGTGTGTTGATTATGGATGAACAGACGAAGAAAACGCTCCTCTACCGCGTCGCAACCTCAACCGAATTTGACCCCACAGGCGCACACGACCCTTCCTCCCCCTCTTCAGAGCACATATCATCTGATCCCGCCCTCCTCACCGCGCACCCTGCCCTCTCCCCCCGCACGCTCCGCATCACCCACCGCACCCTCGCCTCCCTTATCGCCGACTTCACTCCAACGTTATTCACCGTCGGCGCCGCGCAACACATGGCCTGCACAGACGTTATCGCCGAGCGGTGGATGGACGACGTGATCGGGCCCGCGCTTGCAGACGGGGGCGTGGGGACGCCGCTCGAGACGCTGAGGAGGATTGAAGGGGTCGCGGAGGGGTGGAGAGAGCATGGGCTTTGCGAGGGGTGTGTGGGGTGGTTGAGGGGCGAGTGGGAGGGCGAGAGGGAGAAGATTTGGGGGAGGCTGGGGGCGTGGATCGAGGAGGCTGAGAGGGCTGAGAACGCTGCTGATGCGAGTCGATAGGCATATATCATCTTAGACATATCGTATTCTTTCGATGCTTAGTTCTTGCTTGATCTTGACGTTTCACGCGTTCACACGATGGGAGATGCACAGCAAAAATAATGTTCATTGGCACAGAAGCATCCTACGCGAAAACCGAGCCCAAACAAGCAGCACCGACCTTTGCACAACGCAACAAGTTCGAAAAAACGCCGCACCGTTCATCATCATCAATAAGAACACATACAATGGGCCGGACTAGAGGCAACACGATCGATGAGTATGGAGGAAAGCGCGACGGGTCAGTCTGAAGTGATGGGGACGGACTGAGTGCGTCTGTCGTCGTCATGAGCGCTACAAAAAGTCCTCGGCCCGCGCCCGCTTCTTGCCTCGCGACTCCTCCGGCGAGACCTGTGCACCATGGCCATCAGTCTTGGACTCTGGAGCAGACGGTGGCGTGTCCTTAGCGATGTAGTATCTCGGGTGGACCGCGCGCTTCTCCTCCTACAATCCAATCAAAATATAATCAATGGATGTACGCGAATGAGATGAGGAAAGAGAGGACTGACGGGAGAGAAGTTCGCATCGGACCACTTCAGATCCGTCTTCTTCTTCAGGTCAGGGTTCGTCTGAGCCAAAGACGGGTCCGGAATCCTAAGCTGTGGCACTTGCGCTAGTGACTGTTGTCGCTGAGGTGGCTGCGACTGCGGCACGAACGTCGGCGGCGACGCATAGCCGCCCGGCGCAAAGGGCGTCGCAGCGGCCGACGGCGGGCGCGGCGTCGCGCCGGGAATGATAGGGGGCGTACCCATGTTCATGCTCGGCATACCGGGCGGGGACATACCGGGGGGAGGCGGGAAGGGCGGGAAGCCGGGTGGCAGGGCCATGCCGGGCGGCGGGGGGAAGGGCGGCATCGGCATGCCCGGCATACCTGGCATTGGCGGCATCATGCCGGGCGGTGGTGGGAAGGGCGGGAAGCCCGGTGGTGATGCGCTGGAGATACTCTGTCAGCGAGACCTCATGCGCGAATTTAAGATATTCGTACCCAGGCATGCCTGGTGGTGCGCCGGGGAAGGGCGGCATGGGGAAGGGCGGCGCGCCCGGAAATCCTGGAGGCGGCGCACCGGGCATGAACGGAGGCGCACCTGGAGGCGACATCGCACCAGGTATGGGAGGCGGGGCGACTGGCGCAGCTGGAGTCGGGGGAGCGGCATACTGGGTCGGGCCGGCGCCGTAGACAGCGCCCTGGGGACTGGCGTCCTGGGCCGGGGCGGGGGCCTCACTGGCGCCCATGAGCGCCTTGTGGGCCTCGAGCTGGGCGCGGAGCTCGTCCTCGGTCAGCGGTCGGTGTTCCGTCTTTGGGCGCTTGGCCTGTGGCTGGGAGATGGAGCCCGGGTTCAGGCCGAGCTCGATCTCTTTGCGGCGCTTGTAGTCCGCGACGTCCGGCGCGGGGATGCCCTCCATCCCGAAAATCTCCACTTCGTACCCGTCGCGCCCGGGAAGCGCGTTGTCGATGCGCGGAAGGCTGTAACCCAATCAGTAAAGGGGACTACCGAATGGGTGACACTAACGGACTTATCGGCTTCGAGCTTGTGTACCTGCTGGATGTGCACGGCGAGGCCACCGGCGGTGTTCAGGCGGCGGGGACACATGTTGCACTTGAAGTGCTTGGCCTTTTGGTGCTGCATGAGAACTGTATCAAGTCAGCTTCGACGTCTCCGTTGATCTGAATCCAAGGCCGCGCCTACCCTTTTCATCCTCGAATTCACGCTCGCAGTACCAGCACCAGGGACGGAGAAGCTGAAAACCTCAGCGATTCGCTCTTATATAAGTCCAGAAAACGCTGCGACATACCTGCTTATTCTTTTTCTTGGCCATGGTAGACGAGGGAGACGACCAGCTGGCGGTTTAGGACAAGTCACGAATGTGCCAAACTTCCGCAAACAACGACGCGCGCGTCGGCCCGGACTTCCCGTTTATAGTGCGCGTCGGCGCGCGGCTCGTGCTCCCCTTCCACCGCGTCATCGCACGATGGAAAGAGGTGTCAAGCAGACTGCTGTACATAACTGCAGCCGTGCACGCACATCATAAAATGCGACTATCTTTCATACTTCCACCTAGCTCGTAATCGCGCCCGACGTCTCTCCCCAACCCCACTGATACCTGCGCGGTACCCTCGACTCACAGCGTGCAGTTCATATCTGCTCCCGAATCGGACTCGAACACGTATATCAGCCCAGATATTGTCTCCTTCGCAGACCTTATACATAAGGCCCACATAGAGCCTTGGAAAGCGACTCGCGCTTTCTCTATCCTACCACGATGTTAGGCAAGAGCCTACCCGAGTACATCTTCATCCGACTGTCCATCCTCGGCCTGCGCTCAGTCTTCCCGGCATGCGCCCTCTACCTCGCGCGGGAGATCTACCTCTCACATAGCCTCCTCTCGCCTTTCAACTTGTACGCCTTGGCAGAGGTTCTGTTCTACTTCCTTGTCTTCCTCCCCAGATCATCACGTCTACAAGCCGTACGTCTCCTTCCTTATGATTACGCCGCGGTCGATCTCATACCCTTTTAGGAAGCCGTAAGCGCCCCGCGCCTCAACGCCGAAGAACGGCGCGCCCTCTTCGAGCGCTGCCGCACATGCATGGACGGCGACGCCCTATCAGGCTGGTTCACCTCCGCCTCCACCTCCACCTCCGCCGATAAACGCGTCAAAAAAGAAAACATGGCAGAATGGCTCAACTGGTCGCTGTTCTCGACCACGTCGGAGCTGGCGCGGGAGGAGTGGAAGGAGGAGATGGAGTATTATCTGTCGTTCTTCGACGCGCTGTTTGGGTATACGCTTGATGTGGGGAGGAATAGGGATTTGGGGACGTTGAGGTTGGCTGTTGATCCGGTTGTGGCGTGTCATAGGCCGCTGCTTTGGTACGGGGTGCGTTTCAAGCATCACACCTGGCTGACCTTGTACTTATACTCTGGCTCATACAGGTCGTATGCCTCGTAGATGCACTCACGAGCACCGCGCTTTGGAGAATGGGCTTCCGGCACTACAACGTCAACGAATGGTTCACGGCCTTCCCACCGCGGCCCATCCTCTCCCTCGTCTCCGACCACAGCTCGAACCCCGGCATCCCGTACTGGTACCGCCCGCACAATTCAAAAGACAAGCTTCCCATCCTTTTCCTGCACGGCATCGGCGTAAGCTCCCTCTACCATTGCAATCCAACAGTCCGCTGACTCGAGATTTGCAGATCGGCCTATGGACCTACACCGACTTCTTCCGCGAACTCATCGACATAGATCCAGACATCGGCGTCCTCGCCCTCGAGATCCTCCCCATAAGCATGCACATCACGCACCCGCCCCTCCCGCGCGCCCAAATGCACTCTACCATCACCCGCATCCTCGACGCGCACAACCTGCCCCGCGTCGTGCTGATGTCGCACTCGTACGGCACGGGCCTCAGCGCGCAGATCCTGCACGATCCGGCCTTGGAATCGAGGGTCGCGGCGACGCTGTTCGTCGACCCGATACCCTTTTTATTGCACCACCCCTCCGTCGCGTACAACTTCCTCTACCGCGCACCGCGCACCGCGAACGAGTGGCAGCTGTGGTACTTCGCCTCGCGCGACGCGGACGTCGCGCGCGCGCTGGGGCGCCACTTCCATTGGTTCGAGAACGTGTTATTTCGTGAAGAGTTGGAGGGGAAGAGGGTTGCGGTGTCGGTTTCGGGGAGGGATCAGGTCGTTGATGGGCACGCTGTGAGGAGATATCTGACGGGGGATGACGTGGCCAGAACGTACTGGGAGAAGGAGGGGCTGGAGGTGCTTTGGTGGCCGGAGCTGGACCATGCTACGGTTTTTGATACGCGGGAGAGGAGGAAGAGGTTGGTGGAGGTTGTGGGGCGGTTCGTTGCGCTAGAATAGAGGGTAGATGTGGTAGAACTCGTATACTATAGAGCCTTTAAGACCTCGCGCATGTCAAACAGGGAGAATGTTGAGATGTAACCATCGTAACAGTTGATCAATGCGTCATAGCGCGCGCGACGGCCCGCGCGCCTTGCTCCCAACAGCCATCGGGCTCAGCCTCAAATAATAAGACCATGCCTGCTCGTCCCACGAAACCTTCCAGACCGTATCACTGGCTTTCTACTCCAGTGCTATATCAACATGCGCTATGAGACTATGCGAACTCCCGCACCCATCAATTCGACTCGCCGACCATGATGACCACCTCTTCATAACCGGCGAGGACTTGGAGCGTCCCTCGCTCTTGCAAGAGGATGGGAGCTTCACTCAAATACAGCTACTGAAGGCGATAGTGCGTACGATCTACAGGCGGTGGCTCGCCTCTGATGTGAAAGTCGGAGAGAAGCGCACGTAATTGTCATTGCAACGCAGACTCGGGCGCGCATACTTCGTGATACGGCCAACTTCGTCTGCATCGCCGGGTTCGAGCCGGGTTAATTGTATACGGCGCAGAGGAGACCTTTTTGTCTGGTGTATCTGAAGAGGATGGATGAGTGATGACGGCGAGCCGCGCACTTCAGGCTCTTTGCTATCATTTCGTCGGTGCTGGTCGCCAGCTCGCTCACTCCTCGTACTCGACACTTCATGCCGCAAGTCTCCGAACGTCCCCCACCATACTCCCGGGAGTGGCCATCATGCCCTCCGCCACTACAGACCGATGTAGGCCATCGCGCATGGGCCTTCCAGTGTGCCTTTGAAAACACCCGTGAAATCGTGCGATATTCCGTCTGTAAGTTGTCCGGGAAGGGCGTGTACTGCATCAGCATTGATCGTGCGAAGTACAGACATTCAAAGCCTGGCAAGGCGATTGGGCGCTCAAAGGCCAGAACATATCAAGGGGCGATCTGCAGCAGGCTTACAGTCAGGCACCAGAAGACTTGAAACAGGCTGTCGGTGCGCGGTCACCCTCGCGCATCCCGTCCGCTGTTAACGATCTTTACGACAGAGTGGCAGGTGAAATGGGATTCTCCGGTGGTCATGGTTTCCGACCACAGTCGACGCTGGCATGAGTACGTTCGTCGGAGAGAAGCGGGTACCCATGAGGATATTCTGTCGGTGCACAAGTTCGAACAAGAATATGATGCGGCATCTCCTGCTACCCAAAGGGCCGTCCGTGAGTCGACTGGGATGGCACTGCTATCGTGAAACTGAGTGTGTTCCTCGATCTAGAACTCACCGTTTCGGCATGGACTAGTTACAATGGACCCGCCAGGTTGGAACCTCCTGAACGTGATCGTCTCGCGAGCGTAATTGAGGATGCCTCTCCCTCCCTGAAGCTTGCTCTGTGTAATTGACATTTCTTGTTGGCGCAACTTCATACGCTAACACAATGTAGGCTTCGTTTTGAAGATGGGCCTCGACCTCCCGTACCAACGCATGCAGACCATCGACGAGAAGAAAGCGAGCATTCAACAAGTTGTGGCACAGCATCGGGCACGTGTGCCTGCTTGGGATGTGCGCGGCAAGGCAGCGGGTCTGTGGTGAAGCTTAGGCTAGACTGCATGTACGTACATAGAAGATACGTATAGGGTGAATGTGTATAAACAGAAGTCTCTACGAGGATCATTGGAGGATGGCGAATGGTCGGCGCCCACATCAGGACGTGTGTCGGCTCGACGCGACTTGCTCCCGACCGTCATGTCGGTCGGTCGCAACCTGTAGGCGGCTGGCTATTACTACGGATGTTTACGCAGGTACTATCACACTCCGGTGCTTATACAAAAAGTACATATTCGGCGGACTCTCCAGCTCAATTCACACGCCATTGTGTTTGGCCAGCGCGCCAGGATGTCTTGAAGGGGAGGCGAGAGCTGTGCATACGACGACCGCGCACCCCAATTGTATCGACATCCGGGATGCTCTTTTTGTCGCGACCGCCTGAAGTACTATAGACTAAGTACTATAGTCGTTAAGCCCTCCGACTACCGAACGCTTCTTCCTCTATTCTCTCTCGCGAGGTGCTGGTCACCCATACTACGCCCACTCACCGTATCAGGTCCACCCATGCCCCAGGTCTCTGGACGTCCTCCTCCTTACTCTCGAGAGTGGGTTTTACCTCCACCTCCACTTCAAACCGATGTCGGTCATCGCGCTTGGGCCTTCCAGTGCGCTTTCGAAAATGCCCGTGAAATCGTGAGATGGACTATCCGTGAGGCCTCCATAGTAAACTTGTTATGACAATGCCCTTGACGACATCAAGTGCAAACTTTCAAGAACTGGCAAGAGAAATGGGCACTCGAAGGTCAGAAGGTGTCGAGGAGCGGTCTACAACAGGCCTACAACCGAGCACCAGAAGATCTGAAACGCGCCGTCGGTCCGTCGTCGTCCCCGCATCGCACCATGCCTGTTGCTAACGAAGATTGTTGACAGACTGGCAGTTGAGATGGGATGCACCAGTTGTCATGTTGTCAGACCAGAGTCGTCGTTGGCATGAACATGTTCGGCGGAAAGAAGCGGGTATTCATGAAGACATCTTACCACTGCGAAAGTTCGAAGAGGAGTTTGATACCGCATCTCCAGCCATTCAGAAGGCAGTTCGTGAGTTGGTCATAACGAAAAGCGGAGCGAGATGCTGAGATACTGCTGTACAGAGCGTACTGTTTCGGCGTGGACGAACTATAACGGTCCGGTTAGGCTAGATCCTCCCCAGCGCGAGGATCTCGCAAGCGTGTACGAGGCCGCCCCTCCGCCTCTAAAGCTCGCGCTGTGTGAGTGACATTCGCAGAACCTGCTTCTTATTGACGTACTAAGTTGGTCTTCGACAATCCAGGTTTCGTCCTGGAAATGGGTCTCACTGTACCATTTCAACGAATGCAGACCATCGACGAGAGGAGAGAAAGCATCTATACAATCGTGGCAGAACACCGGGCATTGGTGCCTCAATGGAATGTACGTGGCAAGGCGGCGGGTTTATGGTGAGAAGTGGTAGTGCTACAGGTGTTCTTCAATCGTACTGTTGCATATATGGCTTCATTATGTACATGCGTAGAGGGACATTAGGCTCGTGTCGGTCATGGAGTGAGAAGTGGAGCATCTAGAGTAGGTGGTATCCATCAGAGGCACAATGCGAGTAGCAACGTCTGTGTCGTCTATGCTTCACGCTACCAAACTCATTGTAGTGGGCGGCGCACGTCCTTTCTCGGCTGCGCCTTTTGGACCAGGACTGGAGAAAGCTCTTTTCCAGACCTCGCGCAATCTGAGGATACGATTGGGTTTCTTTGGTTTTGTGTCACGGGCACTGGCAGTGTGGTTTATTGATGTAGCCTCGGCATTGATTCAGCGATGCTTCGAGGTCGTCAAGGCGGTTCACAGCTGGGATGAGATGAGTCTTGAGCCACAGCGCGACAAAACGCAACACAAGCGCGCACCTTCAACCAGAACTCCACTCCAACCGCTCGGGTCGTCCATCGCGGCGAACCGAGTGCACAGTGAAGTCAGAGCAGCTTGCCCCTCAACATCTAGCGATACGACCGTGTTAAGATTTGTTGACCCCGGATTGTTGCCCTCAACAGGGGCCGCCGGTTCCGGCGGTGCAGGATTCTCTGCGTCTTGTTCATCCTGCGCGACCTGCGGATGCATCGGTACACCATCCGGCTCATTTTCGCCAGCAACTTCCTCCGGCACTTCATTGTCATTGGCTATCATGGCGGCACCTGGGACAGGTACAGCTTCAACAGGGACCACGGCGAGGGGTCCCACAACGGGTACGGCTTCCTGCACCGCAAGAACGTCCCATATCTCTCCAGCTCCTTGGTTATCGAGTGGGTCCGGTGGATCGTCGACCTCGTCAACCCCTTCAAGCCCAGCGTCATTCACGTCATGTACATCCGGTCCGTGGCCGAAGACCTCGTCGTTATCTCCGGGAAGTCCAGCGACGTCGAGGAACCCGTCCAGCGGTGGCAGTTCCTCATGCAATCCAAGAGGAAGGATCGGCGCGTCGACGAGCAATCCATGCGCCAGCATATAGTCCGTGAGCACAACATGCAGCGCCATCACTAGTCCCGAGCCGTCGGGGTGGGCTGCAAGCTCGGGATGGTGGCCTTCGAAGAGCGCCGCGGCTGCGATGACAGCATCCAGCGCCTGCTATACGATGTCCATAAGCAGCTGAATCACGGAGACAGATGGGGATGCTCACCGCCGGTAAGTGCTGCGGAATCTGGGCGTCGAGTTGAGGTTCTTCGGCTGGTCCCTGAATTTCGCCTTGGTCCATGCCGATTAGCCCAAGGTGATTCTCGTCTCCGAGTCCTTGTGGCATGAGTACGAAGTCGAGCTCCCCGTCTTCTTCGAAATCGGGAGCGGGAGCGTGAATTCAAGCTGTGCGGCTGCTGCATTCTGAAGACTAGTTAGCGCTTCGTTGAATGAACTGGATCGACATGTACATACGTGGTCCAGTGCAGCATGAAAAGGGTGCCCTAGTAAGACATCGAACGGCAACGGGCCCTCGTCATCGAGATGAGGGTTATCCTGCACAGCTACCGGCTACCAAAATCAATCAGCCACCTATGCATTGCTGCTCGTGATCTGTCGCGTACCTCGTTTGGCACCACATGCGGGAAAGGGGGCCCAAGGAGCACGTCAAAGGGTAAAGGACCGTCGGCCTCTAATGGTACGTCGACCAGCCCGGCCGCCAGCGGCTCTAGAGCGTCATCGTGAAGTAGGGCATGAGGGAAAGCTCCGTCCATAGTCGTGAAGAGGTCGTGAGAGAGTCAGTGTACCGGCAGGGGGGCCTACTGCCGAGATATACTTGGGTAGTCCAACAAGGATCGAGTGGTGTAGACAAGCGACCGGTTGTTATGAGACATCATCTCGGACAAGGCCACCTGCATTCGAACATGAGCAGAGCCCAGAGCCGGGCGTCAATTATGGTTGCATGGGGATGGCGAGAACAAGGGCCTGGGAGCGCCACGGATTCGTCTCAAGGCATACAGAGAACAGTCGTTGAGCGCCGGTGTGTCGTCAGGTAGAAGTACGGTGCATCATCCCGAAATGGCGCATCCTTGTAAAGCGGGGAACTGGCGTGTGTGGACTGTCCTTATAACAGGTTTCAGTGCTTTGGCAAGATGGTGGAGTACATAGGTAACACCCTTACCTGACACTATCCCGCAATAACGAGTTTTCGGGCCTCAGTGTCTGTCAGGAGAGCGTAGAAAGCAGTCGTAGAACCGCGAATTTCCGTCCACCTCACTACAGCTCGGCGGCTCCACAACGTGCGCCTAACTGAGCCGTCAGTCATTGAGAGTCGAGCGACGGGCACGCTTCGTCTGCGCGTTAACACCCTGCAGATATTCTTGCGCACAGGGCTTTGTCGTGTGAGCTTGCGCGTAGGGAAATGAAGATGCTGAGATGTCGGTATCATCGCGTATCCGTGCAGACAGGAGCGTCAAAAGGTAGGGAATGGGATTCCCATAGGTCGCTTCTCTGGCATGGTAGGCATGGTGGTTGACAGACAAGTGACGTGCGCCAAAGGTCGCCGCGGTGAGCCTGCGCGGACATCTTGCTTCGCACCCCCAACATGCCGCAAAGACAACCCTTGCAGTTGACGTGTAGCCCAATATACTCTGCCTTTCAACGAAACTCGCGTCCTCACATACGTTGTTACCGGCTTCAGAAGCGTCAACCTCAAACAGTAGCGCGCGACGCCCCGCACACCTTTGTACCAACAACCATCAGGCTCAGCCTCAAATAATAGCATGATACCTACTCGTCTCACGCAACCTCCCAAATTATGGCACCGGGCTGCTGTCAGTCAGACGGCTGTGCCATCGACCTCCAGATCACGACTCGCACCCGATGTTATGCGAGGGATGCACACGCAATTGTCATTGCAACGCAGAGTCGGGCGCGCATACCTCGTCATATGGCCGACTTCATCTACCTCGACAGCCCAATTGTATGCGCCGCGACGGATATCTTTTTGTTTCGCGTATCTGAAGAGGATGGACCGTAGATCGTGCGCTCCTTACCCCTTCATTGCGTCCCATCGGTGCTGGTCACCCATCCGTCTATAGACCGTGCTAAGCCAGTCATGCCTCAGGTCTCCTCACATCCTCCTCCCTATTCTCGCGACAGACAATCCTATCCCCCGCCGCTGCCAGCCGATGTAGACCATCGCGCATGGACATTTCAACGTTCCTTTGAAAATGCTCGCGAGATCGTGAGATGGTCTGTCCGTATGTCTCGCCAGCGTGTTGCTCTTGCACCCCCGCTAATAAAACTCAGTGCAAACTTTCAAGGTTTGGGCAGACAACTGGGCGCTCGAAGGACAGGTCATATCGAGGAATGAGTTACAGCAGGCTTACAATCAGGCGCCAAAAGAACTAAAGCAAGCGGTTGGTATGTGTTCGTCCCAGTACATCACGATTGTTGCTGATAGGCTCAAGACTGGCAGCTGAAATGGGATCGTCCTGTCATCATGACCTGTGACCAGAGTCACCGCTGGCACGAACATGTCCGTAAGAAAGAGGCAGGGTTACATCGAGACATTCTACCTCTGAGCGAGTTTGAGAAAGAGTTCGATGCCGCCTCTCCTGTCGTTCAGAAGGCAGTTCGTAAGTGAATTATGTCAAAGTTGATAAAGGACTGCTGATGAAGATTTTGTATAGAACTCACTGTGTCAGCGTGGACCGCATACAACGGACCAGCCCGTCTGGACCCTCCCCAACGTGATCATCTCGCTAGCGTGTACGAAAATGCCGACTCCTCATTGAAGCTCGCGTTATGTGAGTTAGCAACCATGCGATGGTCACTTCTGTCTGACGCAACATTACGACCTTCAGGCTTCATTTTGGAGATGGGTATTCCAGTTGGCATTCTGATGATGCGAAGGATCGAGGAAAGGAGAGCGAGTATCTATAAGATGGTGGCTGACCACCGGGCACAGATGGCCTACTGGAATGAATATGGCCAGGCAGAAGGGCTATGGTGAATGGCAGGGCCAGCACTAAAATAATATATAAGGCGTCATGCCGCCTCATGCGCGCACATTGTGCAGTGACTGTACAGTAAGACATCCCTCCTAATCGTACAGTCCACAGTTCCCGGAGAGCCTCATTACCACGCTTCATACTGTACACTACATAATGGCGATCGTGAGTCAAAGACGTTCATCCGGGGAGTAGAAGTGCCGTATGCTACCACGCGCGTTGCTCCACCGATTGTGGCGCACGATGCTTTCCAGGTGCATCTGGTGAAGACGATCTAGACATGATCTTAAGCCATACCTCACGAAGTTTGGAACTGCGTTTCGGCTTGTTGGGTATGTGAGGGTGATCCGACGAGGACGCAACAGCTCTAGGCGGTAACGCCGCTGGAAGTCGCTGCTGGTTTGACGACGACGTCTGAAGTTGTTCAATACAGTCCGAAGCTTCGAATGGAGAGAACGTCAGTCAAGGTCCCACTGTGCGTCCAACGTTGAGAAGCGCACCTGCGAACAATACTTCATTGATGTTGCTCAAGTTGTCCTCTATGGTAAACCGAGTGCAGAGTGACGAGAAGGCAGCTCTTCCATGTACGTCCAATGCTGTGCCCATAATCGAGCTCGCATGTGCGGGGGAGCCATTGGGACCTGCAACATTCGATGGACCCGCACCGGGTGACGCGACGAAAGCTCTTGTGCTGCCAATGTGGGGAGCGATATGGGGTTGATTCTGGCCGTGCTCATCAATCGCTTCAACATGATTGTCTGTTTCCGGCAGAGCAGCAGGCGGTGGATGCTCCTCGACGTGATGATCCCCGTCATCGTTCGGCCCTTCGTGTTCAAGTTCTTCGTTGAGGACTCCTGGAGCTTCTGCGGGGGGATGCGGGTATGGCGGAGGCGCTTCATCTGGCACGATCACGTGCGGAGCATTGCCCCCCTCTTCGTTGTTGGCCACGCCAGCCGGAACGGCACCGAGAGCTGGCATAGCGTCCACAGGTTCGACGTGGAGTACGTGCACTACGTCTGGTACAAGTGCCTGCACCGGCGGATGAACCTCCACGCCCGCAGCTCCTTGGTCATAGTTCGGCAAGTTGAGAACGTTATTGGCCACGTCGCTCCCTTCCACGTCCACGCCGTCATCCTCATGTGCCTCCAATCGATGGCCAAAGAACTCACCATCATCTCCAGCATAAGGGTCGATGTCAAGACCGTCCTGTGGTAACCCCGCCTGCGGGGCAAAAGGTGGAGCTTGCGCGTTCGCAGGGATTTCATGCGCCAGCATGAAGTCCGTCACCGCGGCATGAAGCTCTATCACAAGCCCCGGACCGCTCGGGTGGGCTACAAGTTCTGGAGGATAGTTCCGTAAGAATCCTATGACACTCATAATAGCATCCAGTCCTGGCTATATAGGCATCATCAGCAGTCGAGACATGAGAGACGCTGAGAGGATGCGCACTGGCAAGTGATGCTCGAGCTGCAATACACCAAACTCTGCGCCATCTACAACATCTGGTTGGTGAGGGGCCACTTGGGCAATGTTAATCAACCCAAGCTGATTCCCGTGCGCAGGCTCCTGTTGCACGAGGGCAAAGTCTAAAGCTCCAAGGGCGAAGTCGTCTTCCATGTTATCGGGAGCAGGGGGATTGAAGAGGGGCACGGGGCCGGGCTGTGGATCTGCCTGATGAAAGCCCGGTCAGCCAATCGTCCTTTGTAATCTGTACTACCGTACAGACTTGATTTGGTGCTGCGTGGAGAAAAGGATGCCCGAGGATCACGTCGAAGGGTAAAGGTCCATCATCATTGAAGTGTGCATTGTCCGGTCCAGCCGCTTGCTAAGGTACGCTCAGCATACCCCGAAATGCACTTCATTATATGAGACATACTTCATCTGGTGCCACATCAAGGATAGGATGTCCAAGTAGTACGTCAAAGGGAAGAGGTTCAACGTCGTCAAATAGCATGTTGTCCAACTCGGCCGCCGGCGGTTCGAGGACATCTTCGTCAAGTAGGACGTGAGGAGGCACCGCTTCCATGGTCGTAAGGGGTCGTGAGTAGGTTAATACGTCGGCAAAGGCGCGCTGTTGACTTTTATGCTAGATAGTACAACAAGGCCCATATGGCGTGGAGAAGCGAACGTTCGTTATAGAACGAACAAGGCCTCGGACAAGGCTATCTGCATCGGGATATACCGCGGACGTTGGATCAGAGCCGCTTTTCGGGTGTCACTTCTGGTTGTATGGGGATTGCGAGAACAAGGGCCTGTGAGCGCCGCGGGCTCGTCTCCAGGTGTCTAGAGGCCGGTCGATAAGCGCCGAGGTGTCGTCAAGCAGAGACACGGGCTCTTATCCCGAAACGTCGAATGCTTGTAAAGTGGTGACCTGGCGTGTGTAGTCAATACGAGGCATGTCTTTCATTCCTAGTGAACTCTTGTGGAGTGCATCAGTATTCCGGCAAGGTGACGGAGTGCATGATTGGCACTCTCACCTTTATACCCTATCCGATAACCTTGACCCTCTCAGACGCTTGGAGTGTCGATTGAGCAAGTGAGGGAGACGTTTGTTGATTCCTGAATTTTTTGAATGCACGAGCGTTCGAGTCCGCCCCCAGGCCGCGCTACTGCTCTCTCCACCTCACCACTGCTCCGATGCTTCACGTTGTATCTTCCGTTCAACGACCCATCAAAGATAAACCAGGCCACCAATGACTGGAACTCAATTAACGAGCATGCTTCGTCTGCGCGACAACACCAGGAAGATATTCGAACGCCAGTTCTCGAGCGCCACGGTCCGTTGTACCAACTTGCGCACTCGGATGTGCACATATTGGGAGATTGACTTGATCATTTATTTGTGAGGACAGGCTCGTCAAAAGGTAGGCAAAGGGTTGCTAATTTCGTGCATGGTGGTCGAGAGACAAGTGACGTCCGTGGAAAGGCGCCGCGGTGAGCTTGCGCCGCACACGCCGTGTGGACGGTTTGCTCCGTACCTCCATCCTGCATCATGGTCACCAGGATGGCCTGTACCATACACGGCGAGGTCTAGCTGAATATATTCTACCTCTATACGAGCTCTACGTGTATAACACGCACCGCCACCAAATTCAGAAGCGCCCTCGGACTTCGCCGTAAACCGCTCTCAGCGTCTCAGGGCCTTGAGTGGCCGGCCCATCTATCAGAATACCCTGCTGTTCAGGTGTCCACCTGCACTCCCGCGCCAGCTTCTTCACGATGCTCGATCGGTCGAAAGCGGGTCGCATGCGAACCATGTATGATTTGGGCCCCGCTACTCGCGCATTGGATTCGATGCTAGACAAGCCCTCAAACGGGATAAAATGATAAGAACAGCACCCGCACCCAGGCGCACGGCGGGTTGCCGATATCGCAGAAACGAGCTTAAAAGCCCTTACGATCTCGGACACGACTTCCCCACAGCCATGGCCATCCACACTGTACACCAACCGCAGAAGCACCACGTCTGGGATAACAGGTACAGTACATTGCTTGGTTATCGCACGACATCCTTCACTCATGAGCCTATGCAGCATACCACCAGTCGTCACCATCAAGTCTGGTGATACTGTCCACTTCGACTGTATCGACGCATCCAACGGGGCCATCCAGCCCACCACCGTCGCCGGCGACCTACTGAAGTGCGATCTGTCCACCTTTGACCCGGCACAGGGCCCGGTATATGTTGAAGGCGCCGAACCTGGCGACGTCCTTCAGATCGACCTTCTCGAGCTTGAGACCGCAGATTGGGGCTGGAGCGCCGTCTTCCCCGGCTTTGGTGTCTTGACCGACGAGTTTGACACTAAGGCACCCGCCATCAAGATCTGGAAGATCGACCACGAGGCCCAATGCGCCTGGTTCGACGAGGAGCACACCATCCGCATACCTCTGCGCCCGTTCTGCGGTGTCGTCGGTGTCGCTCGCGCCCTGGAGGGCAAGTT